ATTTCATCAACTCACTTGTCCAGGGGCTTGGCCAGGAGACAAAAATAGGTGAGGCGAATTCCAATAAGCGAGGTAAAATTCAAGTCAAAGAGGACATCTTTATACCTCTACATAGGAGTATCAGATGTACATTTTACAGTTTCAGTGGAAAATATGTTGAAAACAAGTTACTTTGTTAAACTGGAGAGGCTATTGCCTTAGTTGCCTCAGTTGCCTCATAGCTAGCTATTCCCATGCTTAATATGAACACTCTTGTCCTGTCTCAGTGTTCAGTTTTAACAAGTTTCCCTGTAGATTAAAAATAACAAGAGCTGTTTAATTACACCGCATACTTAACTTTGTGATTCCCTGTTGCTATAGTTACTGTTTCCAAGAGATGTTACATTACACTGCATACTTAGTGATTCACTGTTACTATAGTTACTGTTTCCAAGAGCTATTATGTTTTACTCAAAGTTGATAAAAACTAACTATTTTAGTTTGTTAATATTTTAGATTTTCTACTTATTTTTTTAATATGTTAATGAAGTGTGTTTTTATAGATTTTTATCTGTGCTGTCATGTTCTTGAATTCTTTCCTGTACTGTACTAGTACTGTACTGTACTGTACCGTACTGTACCATAATGTACTGTACTGCATTTCTGCAGCCACTGTCTAAAACTATGTGTTTGTATACGATAATGCATAGTTGTCACTACAAATTTGATTCTTTCCACAAATGCCTAAAACATATTGTTCAATAATTTATAAGGTTCCATTTTTGAAATAAACCAAAATCTTAACATTTGTATCAGCCTGCAATTTGCGCCATCATAAGATTTTAAAACAAAACTTGAAAAAGGGTACAGGCTTCTCTTATAATTTCTAGAAGGCAATTAATTTATTAAAGAAATTCTTCAAGCTTGACCATTTACAGAAAAGAAAGTTTATTTCAAAGTCTATTGATGGTAAAAGTTGCAGGTTATTCAGAATTTTCTTCAATTTCGATGCACCTTGTGATCAGAAAAGGCACTAAGTTCATATCACCTAATTTGTAATCTTTAAACTTTGGACTGAATGTTATAAGCTATGGGCATCTGGATATTAACAATTTAACTGTATTATACACATATAATTTGGATAACCATCTTGTACTCACGTGGTATCAGGCATTTTAGCATTACAAAACATATCCATTTTAGGAATATAAGGTATTTATACTGAAAGAAGTTCAGTAAGAAATAATGTAAACTAGTACAAAACTAGAGAAGAAATAGTAAACATAAAATACCTCAGTTAAATCTTTGAGAAAGAATGAAAGCTGAATTAAGGTGGGCTAAATGGTAAACTTTTGAGCCAATGAATGCATAGCATCAGTGTGCAAATCTTCTTATTGTAATTAACTAACTCTACCTAAATAGTTAATTTTCCTTCATACTCTATTTCTCACATGTATGTATGAGGTCTAAATGTAGATGTTATGTTAATCCTGTATTTTACTTTTAGTTCTGTATTACTATAATATTTATGTACAAATGTGTATTTAAAATTACACAGAGTTAATAAAGAATGTTATGAATAAAGTTATTCGATTTTTGTTCTTAAATTAATCAACCACCAATTAACTGAATATGATTCACAGGATTTCATTATAATGTCAATTGTTTTATTGACTTTTAAATTTTTACCAAAATTGATAATGTAAGATCCTGTTTCTGTTATCAAAATTCAAAGGACCATATTCCCTGACATGAAATATAAAATACTGTTTGTTTGTTTACAAAGAGCAACATTCAATACAGGTCATTCATTTTATCCCATGGTTACTAAATATATAGGCCTAGGGGATAACAACATAAATTATTAGTCATCAGTTTTGAATTTAGTGCCAAAATGGTTATTGGGCTATCATCTTTATCCACTCGTGGATATCGCCCATCTCCACTCATTCATTACAGATAATTGATGCAAATTATTCTGTTGAGATTCATGCATTGATATGATTATAATATTCATACAAGACTTCAAAAATATTTATGGCTAAGAATTATTCTCTATCTTATATTTTGTCTTGTCTAATTGAATTAACCATATGCATGACCTCCGAGTTGGGGGTTCGGGGCAGTGCTGAATCTCCTATATAGACCAAGAGCAGTGCATGAATGTACCTTGTAATATGGGTACCTACTGGCAGATCTAGGGGGATGGGCTGAGAAAGATTTCTGTAGTGCCTAAACTAGTGGGCCTTTTTAGGCATTACTTGGCCTTTTTGGGTCTTACTTTTTTTTAAATTTAGGCCTAATTATCAGAAATAGGCCTTTGATTTTCAAAAGTTGCCCCCCTCCTTTGTTAGCTTTTGGATCCGTCAGTGGTACGATCATGTGGCCATCCGGCCTGGGATTTCTTGAAGGCCCTTTGGTACATGTATCATACATGTTCTTCTTTGAGAGGGTATATTTGTTGAAATCTTAATAAATGTATGTAGCCCTAAGAAGTCCGGTCCATCCAAGTTAAAAACACTTGCTCAGTTGTCAGTACATGTATTTCCGACCCATAAGCCCAAAGTCCTAAACAGAGATTGTTTTGTTCGGTAATTCGATGCAATATTGAAAACACAACACGTTCGGTATTCCGATGCATCAATCAGTGATCTTACACATTCCAATTCTTAGTTGGGCTTTCAGTTGATCGAAGACCCAAGGACTGTTTACAAATGTGTACCAGGTCTATAACGCTCAGTGCAGAATAAACCAACGGTATTATCTTTTGGGTATTATTGTTAAACTTTTTGAAATTTTATATTTTTTTGTAAGAAACTGGAATGTGTATATCGCTGGGTGAAAATTTGTTTACACATGGCGGAAGTCCGATAGGTAAATAGATACGTTATTTAGAACCCCTCGTGCCTAATAAGTGCATGTGTCAGGAAATCTCAATGCATTAGCGATGTTTTAACATGTCCGTTAATTCCTACTTGAGATTACTTGATACAATTTATGCAGTGTACGTTTTGTCGAATGTAGCTTTTTTCTTAAGGTCTCATGGAAGTTAACAGGAAATGACAAAACAAAAAATGACAAAGCCATGCTGGATTTTGAAATTTTTTTGAACCAAGATAACAGAGTTCTGTTTGGACCTCCAGTCAGTTTAACTAGTTCCAAATATCATTTACATGACCAGGAACACAATTGAAATGGTCAGAATGACCATAAACATGATAAAATAACCTTTTTAGCCCTCTGAAAATGTGACTGAAAAATAGCTAAAAGTAGGTGCTCAGGAAAGGTCAATGAACAGAATCTTTTGATTTTTTCAGAATATGTGTCCAATATATTGCTCTAAATGACACAATCTTTGAAATTTTAAAAAATCGTCTGAAACAATAATGGCTGTAGTAAAAAGGAAAATAGATCGATTTTCAATTCAGTTTTTTTCAATTTTTTCTTTTTCTAAGAATGATATCAAATTTTTTTGAATTGTATCATTTAGAGCAATATATTGGGCACATTTTCTGAAAAAGTCAAAATATTCTGTTCAGTGACCTTTCCTGAGCACCTACTCTTAGCTATTTTTTAGTCACATTTTCAGAGGGCTGAAAAGGTTATTCTATCATGTTTATGGTCATTCTGACCATTTCAACTGTGTTCCTGGTCATGTAAATGATATGTGGAATTAGTTAAACTGACTGGAGGTCCAAACAGAACTCTGTTATATTGGTTCAAAAAATTGTCAAAATCCAGCATGGCTTTGTCATTTTTTGTTTTGTCACTTCCTGTTAACTTCCATTAGACCTTAAGGTTCAGCTGGAAAGTAACATTTTGGTAAAAAATTGCCATACCTGCACATGTTATTTTCTGGTACAAAATTAAGTATGAAGTCATTTGTGTATCTCCTTGCTTTTTTCAGGAAAGTATCATTACACTGTTTACTTTTAGAATATCTGGAAACAGGTCAATGGAAGCTTCTGTGTTGTCTGGAAACTTTGAAAGAAAATTTGGAAAAATAGAAAGTGTGAAATATCAGAATTTCCTGGAGTTCCCATTGAACCCCTACCAGATATTCTAAAAGAAGACAATGTAATGATACTTTCCTGAAAAAAGCAAGGAAATTGACACATGCCTTCATACTTTATTTTTTACCAGAAAATAACATGTGCAGGTATCTAGCAATTTTTTACCAAAATGTTACTTTCCAGCTGTACCTTAATCTTATGTTATTGTTAGCCTACAAGTAGTCCAACAACATTAGACCTAGCCCGGGCCTCGTTTCTTATCTGACATGTGTTATGGCCCGGCTAGGTCTAACCTCCATGACCATTTTGCCTTTGATGCATTAATTTAATCGTTCAGCAGGTTTCGACAAGCGGAACTAATTGAACCCTGAAAACATGGCAATATTACACAAAGAATGTGATTCAAGCATGCATACATACCTTATAAACACATACACCCCGTCCCGTATCCCCCTTAGACCCTATTGATGCATAATTACGAAAATATTGGAGACAGGTTTGGAATATGACGAAAATGTCGGTCAGTTTCGGTAACATCGAAATTGCAAATCGTTTCAGGAATTAACCGTCATCACGGCACTGCATTAACGAACAGTTGGTTTGCAATTAATAACTATTTTGCGTGTATATACGCGCTATATAAATTAATCAAAGATACCTGTTATCCTCAAAATTGATCTTTTTATCCCGAGTAATCGCGATAATAATTATCAATCTATTTGACAACAATTTCGTTTCGCTGGTAGTTTAATTTTACGATCCGGGACACTCAGATGAACAGACACAATGACGGACATGCGGAAATGTCACTTTAGAGATTGGTAAGTGTAGCCTCATTTTACTCGTATAAATGAACATTTAACACAATAATATTGTTATCGCGGAAAAATGGTTTCGATGGATTCAGAACTTGCATCAAGGAGGTTAAACTCAATAATGGCCCCAAGAAAATTCCTAATAATAAAGAACGCCGTTATTGAGTTTAACGACGTTGAACTAGCCTACAAGTAGATCATAGATGCTTTACACAAAGCCTGGGTTAAGATCCTAGATGATGAAGGTCTTTCTATTTGAGTCAGACAATACTGCAGGAGGATACCATTTATATTCGTTTGACTTCATTTCTTAAAGAGAGGTTCGTATTCAATCTTTCAGTTTACAATAAATTTCACTCAATCAGAGTCCATCATCAAATATGTATGACTTTTTAAAGATGGCCATTTCATCTGTCATGGTCACATAGTTACATTGAATTAGCACGCATTTAGCACATGGCCCTTTGAGCTTGCTGATTGATTGAGAAAAGGTAAGCATGGTGATTTGAAATGGTTTACGACCCTGGCATTCTTAGGCACTGGTAGAGGGGATAGGGCTTCTAAACTATTATATATTCTTTACAAGACATCTAGGGTAGTTTATAGCTAGTCTGTGCACAGGGTAGAAGGAGGAGTACAGGACTACCCAGACAAATTACATCGGGGCCTGTTCAACGTTGTACGAGTCCCGTTCCCTCAACAGTCTCTGTACAACCTTGCACGAACCTCGTGATGAGTCCTGTAATTGCTCGTAATTTTCGAGCCTTGTTCAATCTTTTACCAGGCCGTTATAATTTCCCTGTGTTTTCTATTTTAGGGTTGTTAACTCTGATAAAGTATGTTGGAACCTTTAGCCACCCAGTGGTAGATCAACTAGACAACATGCTGTAGCATTACATGTAATACAGTACCATAGAGTCATACTCATTGGCAGATAAAAGATGACCAATATATATCATAAGTAGTAGGTCCTTCAACCATGAGCAAGCCAGGAGTGTTTGACAGCAGTCTACCACTCTTTCAAAATATAGACAGAGATGGTCACTTCCCAGTAAATTGGCCAGATGAGGTAAGCATGGGCGTAGCAATTGGTACGCTGGGTACGCACAGGCGTACCAGATGGTTTCAAATTCAATCCAAATTTCAAAATTTTTTCAAAATTTTCCAAGGGGGAGAACCCCACAGACCCCCTGAACGATTTTTTGCTTCTCTCAACTCTTGCTCCCATGCGGGCTCCCATGGTGGTGTACTACTTAGAAAAATAGCGCTACGCTCATGGTAAGATGTCAATGCTATATAATCCTATGATCATTTAATTGATGTCAACATTGACAGTAATGAAATTATAGAATTGAGAGTTGTACATTGAAAAATTAATGTAGAACATGAAAATTTGAGCTAATTATTCCGTATGATCTTATAGTGAAGAAATGAATTATAGCTGATTAAGGTTATAAGCTAATTAAGAACATTTGATATTAATACGTAATCAATAGACTAGATGCGAATGGAAATAATCTTGATTTACGTCATTAAATATTCAAAATTCAGTCAAAGTGATGTCATATTTGAAATCTACATGTAAAAGTACATCTAGAAAATGGTTTCGAAACTTGTTTATCAACTTTGAAAATTTAATTTTTTTGAAAATGGAACTTCTAGCTCGGGTTGATTCCTCATAGACCCCATGTTACAAAATCACAAAAAGTGAAATATCTTTTCTTGTATTGGACAGATAACATTTTCTTTTACTGGGCATATTTTAATTTGCATAACTATTAGATGCATAAGGGTTATACAAAAATTGAACCACTAAAACAGATGTAATTTAAGTTAAATGGAACTTTCTACTATACCCGCCATGTTATCTGACCCGAACGAGCCACCTGGTGACGAAACTGGTAACTACTTACTCGCATCTGCGTTATTAAATTTTACTTGTGTATGGTGATTAAAGGTATGGTCTAATTTCCAAGTGGAAAAAACAGATGGATATCTGAAATATGTTGAAGGTCCAAGTTGATATGTTATGTAATCAATTTAATTTGCTTGTGTAATTAAAGGTATGGTCTAATTTCCAAGTGGAAAAAACAGATGGACAGCTGAAATATGTTGAAGAGCCAAGTCTTAAAGGAACTGAAAATAACATTGTTCTAAAGGCTGAGCCCTTTGGTGAGGCTGATGAAAGTGATGATGAAGATTCAGACCGGGAATCCCTTTTTGATGAAAATGGAGAACTTTGGTACATGAAGAAGTATAATGAGATTCGCATGTAAGTTTTTATCAATACATTTTTGATGAATATTGTCATCAAAATGATTGGAAAGCCAGTTTTAATTGATTTAGATTCAAAAGCAAACGTATGCCAACATTTGACAAGGTTTTGAGCAAGCAGGGTAAATTACTACTACATGGCAATCATTTTGCTCTATACACCCCCAAAATGCAATCTGATTTTCAACGATTTTTGGTGCCAAATTTCGGTGCTGTTTCGGCACCAAATGGACTGACTAGTCTGGTGCCAAATTTTGGTGTCAAAAGGTTTCGGTGCCGAAACGGTGCCCGAACAGCGCCAAATTTTTTTGATGCCGAAACGATGCTGAATTATATTGGCTGTGTATAGGTATAGGTCTGCATTATTTATCACTGTATGTCTTGTTTATGTTTTGTTTGTTTACTTTATATTAATAAAATTTACCCTGAAGACAGTGCCCTGAACACAGTGCGAATACTTGGCTAATAAGAAATCTTTACCCATGTTTCTCCCTTAAATCATTAGGCTAGTAATAGATTTTTGGTGTCTTTGTGCACCAAACAGTAATCAACATAATACATTGAAACAAGTTTGGATATTCAGCAGCAATATTTAGGCACCAAAATGAAGTGTTGTTCAGCACCAATCTTTGTTGTCATTTTTGCATTAAGAAGGCATATATGTTCTCGATATATTCTTTTGAACCTTATGTCTCATAAATATTTGTGTTCAGTAAAGAACTGACTTTGGAAATCTTACTTCAGGAAACACAATCCAGGTATGCCAGAAAGACAGCCTCGTAGGATTGGTCCATATTATATCAGATATGACAAGTTTCCTGAGTACTTCCTCTCTGTTAAATCCTTAGATGACAGTGATGATAGCAGCGTTGGTATCCTTGATGATGATGATTTGGAAGAAGTAATAAAACAGGCAGATGATTTGGATAAGGATGACCCAGAATATGATGAAGCGATGAAATTCATTGAAAGCCAAAAGAGAAAGAAAGGAATTGTCGATGAAGGGATGGAAACCATTGAAAATAAGGAGGCAGTTGGACCTGAGTTTCAGTTGGTCCATGAAAGTTATTATGGTGATTTAGAATTTTTCATTCTATACCCAAGTCCTATACAACACCATAATGGGAGCGTCTGTATTGTCCATGATGCTACACAAACATATCTGAGTGACTCCAGTGGTTCAATCTCTCTTTTCGTTGGGAATGTTTCTTCGCTTGAAAATAATGAATCCATTGAAGCAGTCCAAAGCACTGAGATGAAATTAACAGATATGGATAACAAAACGTGTACAAAAGTTTTCATTCGAGGAGCTACTCAGGAAATATCAAATAATTACCTGGCACCTGTACAGGTATGATTATGATACATGTAGTTAGTATATCAGTGTCAAGTTTCAGCTTCCCAAGTTTACCAATTTTCTCTTTTTACTCAATAAATTTTGTAAAAAGCAATGTCACACAACGATTTCATGATGACCTAATTCCATTGATAATATTTTATTATCTTTTTTTATATGGGTTAATCTTGTCCATGATATAGTATTTGTAACTTGATCTACTTTTTCAACTTGACCTATTTTAAGAAAGTGAGTAGAATGAATTACCATGTGTACCCCTGTCATTTTTATTATTATTTTCTTCAATATTTGTAGATATCTCAGGAGGATCGAGAAAATAAAAAAGAATTTAAGGTGAACTTGGGGTACTCCATCCAACCTAAACAATTAGAAAAAGATGAGAATGGTGTAACACCATTTAGCTGGTCATTTGCTTATTCAAAAGTAAAGTCTTCAGACTCTGATGGTAATTAAACTTTCAATCTTTCATCTTTAACAAAAAGAAAATGATAACTTCTTGTTCAATAATAAATTTAATCATAAAAACCCAATGGGCAATAAAACCCCAATAGGCAACACTTGAATAAAATCCCAATGGGCAATAGGCAACACTTGAATAAAAACATAATGAGCAACACTTGAGTAAAACCCTAATGGGCAACACTTGAATAAACCCAAATGGGCAACACTTGAATAAAATCCCAATGGGCAATAGGCAACACTTGAATAAAAACATAAGGAGCAACACTTGAGTAAAACTCCAATGGACAACACTTGAATAAAACCCCAATGAGCAACACTTGAATAAACCCAACACTTGACAACACTTGAATAAAACCCCAATGAGCAACACTTGAATAAAACCCCAATGGGCAACACTTGATTTAAACATCAATTGGCAACACATAAAATGGCCTCTGATAAGATAAACAGGGTTGCCCAGTGTAGGTTTAGAATTACTCAACCATCTGTAAACTGAAATAGAAAACCTACTTATGGGCCAATCAATAGAATTATCATATTATACTTAGCATGCAGTTTTTCTTAGGATAGTCTAATTCATGATAGCCTTATAGCTCAGGGATATTCAAAACAAGTACTTGTAGTGTGCAGGCCATAGTCCCCAAACCCTCCCCCTCCAAGCCAAAGATACTCTCAAAATCATCCAGTTTTTACAATTTTGAGCACTGGTCAAGTGATTTTGGGTCAAAATTGTCAAACTTCTAGGAATTTTTCAAAGACTGACCTTCCATTGGCAAAATCTGGTTACGGTCCTGGTGTGTTAAATGTAGAAATATTTTAACATTGTAGTGTGCTGGAAAGTGTGGGAGTTTGGCCCTGTGTTAGAAAATGATGATGATGTCCAGACCAGTGACATTAAACCATATGATCCTAAAATAGAAGATCAAGAGGAGAAGGAGCGCAATAAGCCAGGTGAAATACTTTTTATTACATTTCTCTTTGTATTGTTGTAGTACAATAAAAAAAATTGCCAATGGGATAAAATTTCTTAAAGACTAACGTTTAACCAATACTGTATTGTAAAATTGTCAAATGTATGTTTCCCATGTAACTGTATTATTATTGTTTTTTGCAATTGCTTTAACATGTTTTTTCTTTGAAATAAAAAAAAATTTAAAAAAAGGGCTGGTGATAAATAGAGTATTATGTCCCCTTTGGAATTTTGTCCTAGTTTACATCAATACCTCTCTTGAGCCAAATGTGTTCAGTGGCATAGGTAGGATTGCTCAAGGGGGGTGCACTAGGCATTTTTTCAGATTGATAAGGCAAAAAATCGAAAGCATGGCAAAGCATGTCAGTCAGACAAACAGCTAGCATGTACACATTTTAAGTCTGAAAAACCCTTAAACAAAAACTTGGGCCCAAAAATTTGAAAAAAGTTGCGCAATGAACTATCACGGTCAACTTTATTCTATCTTCTCTCACATTTCAATTAAGATTTTGTGCATAATCAGCAGTGGCATTTCACCTTCTCATATGAATAGTTGATTGAAACCCAATGAGAAAGTGTCTAACATAATTTGAGGCAAAATATTCACGTTTTTCTGAGGCAAATTAAAAAAATAACGACGAGTCAATTTTTTTAAAAAGCGACGTGGCAAAACTCAAGTCGGGTGCAAGTGCACCCGGCGCAACCCCCTGGCAATGGCCTTGGTGTTTAAAAATGAGTCAAAATATGTCATCATGTATGAGAAACTGAACAATGAATACTTAGCAAATATTCTGTAATAACCCAGGATAGCAAGTTGCTACTACAGCTCAGCTATTGTGGCTGGTCCTGGGTATGATTCCTGCATGGGACATTGAATTTGGCACACTCTCTTTCATGTCTAGTATCTAGCTTGTTACACTACAGCTTCCTGGAAGCGCCCTCGAGTCATTATAAATATGATTTTGAAAAGTGTTTTTTCTTTATCTTGATTTATTGGGAAGGGGTAGAAGTTTTAAAACAAGACAAACATAGTTGTTCTTACTTTTATAGATAACATTATATTTTTGCAGGTTACAAGTTAAGCAAATGCGGCAGTGTAGTCACTGTGTTTGTATACAGAAGAGGGAAGGAGGATGACTCGACCTATAATTATGAAAGTTCTGTCGACTTTCAAACTGAGTGAGTCCATTTTTATTTTATGTTACAGTATTTAATTGTTTTTTCTACAAAAGTAATCTACATGTATTATGTATTAAAAACATGCCAAATTTCCCCATAGTCAAAGTGTATTGAAATGTCATGTTAATCTTTTCAATAGATAGAAGGATGAGCCAAAATTTGAGATATTCAGAGAAATTTTATTTAAAGGAGTGTATATTCATCAATGTTCTGAAAATTAATGAGGATAAAGTTTTAGCATTAGTGGATGTACAATTGTATGTCCATAATCTGCCTCACATCTATTTGAAATTCTTTATGCAAAAAACATATTTTTTCAGAATTTTTAATGAAATTCCTTTATGCAAAAACATAAATATTTTTAATGAAATTCTTCGATGCAAATAACATTAATGTTGAAGAACCTATTAAATTTTATGTAAATTATAATGATTCTGTGTTTAGAGATGATACTGCTAAGGGTGTCAGCCGAGTAGATGACGATGAAGAGATGTTTGATTTTATCAAAGCCTCTGGCACAATCAAACTGAGGAGTGTCAGTTATATTGGCATAAACAATTATAGAGTTTCACGTTTGAGCTTCAAAATCGGAATTGTGAATGAGGTATGTAGTCACCTATAAGGCTAGTGGAAAAAAAAATTTGAAAAATTATTTTGTCGAAAGGGTTTCAAGTTTTCAGGCCTACAGTGTATTGTTATCCCACAGAATGTAGGAATATAGAGAAACCATCCATTTGTTTGTATGTTTGTCTCTCTGGACAATAACTTGAATACCAGTTGACGGATTTGCTTCAAATTTAATAGAGTAATGCCTTATGGACATGTATGTAGTCACCTATAAGGCTAGTGGAAAAAAAAATTTGAAAAATTATTTTGTCGAAAGGGTTTCAAGTTTTCAGGCCTACAGTGTATTGTTATCCCACAGAATGTAGGAATATAGAGAAACCATCCATTTGTTTGTATGTTTGTCTCTCTGGACAATAACTTGAATACCAGTTGACGGATTTGCTTCAAATTTAATAGAGTAATGCCTTATGGACATCGGCCTATGCTAAAATAGGAATTTTGAAGATCAGGGGTTTCACTAAAACTTCTTACAACAGGCTAAATAAATGAAAACAACAGGCAAAATTAATGGAAATCATAAATTTGACATGGAAAAGTTGAAAAGTCCCTAAAAACAGCAAGCATTTTTGTGAAAACAACTGGTGAAAATCACCTGTTACCTGCTGCTAATGAAACCCCTGAAGATGGTGCCTGAATTGTAGTTGTCTTTATATAATATTAAATTTGTCACTTTTAATATCAATCCAAAGCGAATAGAATGAGTAATTTGACTGACTGACTCATCCTCCGAACACAGGCCTCCAGAAGTTGTACCTCCTTCTTCCAAGAATAAGAAGGAAGGAACTTAGTGGATGATGTCTGGAGACCTGCATTTGTAGGATGGGCTGACAATTACACATATGTACAGGGTGTCCCGAAAGTATGGGGCCCCCTAGGCAGACATATACCAGTGTCGTCATAGTATGCCCCATACTTTCGGGACACCCTGTATACACACCTTTTTATGTTTTATTTCAGGAGAAACAATTTAAAGTAAAACTGTTAAATCCTTCCTTTGGTGGTAAGCTTGGTTACCATGACAACATTAGCATCACAATAAAGCCCAGAGAAGGCTCTAATAGTGGTAGCTTACCCATACACACTTTGGACTTTGCCAATAATATCCTCATGAATGACAAAATTATGAAAGAACTGCATGAAAAAAAGAACTACTTTAGCTCATTGAAATATGTGAATCTCAGCGGATGTATACACTTGTCAGATTATGGAGTGAAGTGGCTTGGTGATATTTTGCTCTGCAGCAAATCCCTACGCAAGGTATGACTTGACAATGTATCATTGTAAAATATTTTCTCCATGTGCTGTTGTCTGTTTTGATTATACCACCACTGTTAACTAAATCTATTAATTCTTCAAAGTATGAATTTATTATACTCAACAGTGTTTTATTTAAGAGTATATTTGAGAGTTTAAGAGTATATTTTGTTAAATAAGTAAGCAAATTAGTCACGAGTTTATACATCCAAGCTCCAATAATTGAGTGAGAACCCCTTTAAAATGTTAACACAATGCAACTAAGACGTTAAACACCAGATAACATCCTGGTTGCTGAAGTGAGGGAATTCTCACTCGATTATTGGATCTGCTGGATACATTTGCTCATGACTGACTAGGTGTTCAGTAACAAGGTGTTTCTATTTACACAGGGGTGAAATATTTGGATACAAATCAACCTCCGTCTTGTGTGACAGAAATAAAAACAGAAGTAAATCCATTTTGTTTTTGAGATGTAACATCTTTATTACCAGGTGGGACCATTGTTCCTGGTCCACTTTGAATACACAATTCTACATATTATGTGTAATATTGTAGGTTATACTAGATGGTTGCACTGACTTGACAGAGAAGTCTCTCATAGAACTGGTGAACTCTTGCCCTGGAACATGTAAACTCTCCCTGATTGGTACAAGAGTGACCTTTGACCTCACCAATACACTGGATCGCAATATGAGACTCTTTGGCTGCACGATTATCAACGCTGAACCACAGGGTAAGAAAATGATTTTTGACAATAAAATGGCCGGGGAATATATCACGCCCGGTGATCGTGAAAATGGGACGGAGGGGGGGAGCAGGCAATTTCTGCAAGAAAATTTATCAAATCTGAGAGATTTATTTTTTCAAGAAAAAGTTTACTATTGAATTGCTGAATTGATAGGCGCACGGTATGGTAAAATATGTTAGGTCTTCTGGGATTTTTTCTGAAACGATAGGCATCTAAGATATGAGATCTATTAAAAAAGGTGCGAGGCAACCAACAGACACAAATCAACGTTTTAGCTATAAATCAAGCAACGATGGTCTACACGACCTGTATTAAATACTTGTAAGTGACGATATCATAACTAAATTAATGCCATTGCTGAATTTATAAAATAAGTTTCAATACGTAAAATAAAAAATAATCGAAAATAATTATGGGACGGAGGGGGGAGCAATATGTATCATGTCTTAATACATATTGCTCCCCCCTCCGTCCCAGAATTATTTTCGATTATTTTTTATTTCACCTATGGAAACTTATTTTACAAAGTCAGCAATAACATTAATTTTGTGACGATAATGTCACTTACAAGTATTTATTACAGGTCATGTACACCATTGTTGCTTCATTTATAGCAACAACATTGACTTTTGCACGTTGGTGCGTTGCGCCTTTTTTAATAGATCTTATACCCTAAAAGAGTATCGGTTGAAAAAAAATCCTAGAATACCTAACATATTTTACAATACCGTGAGCCTATTTATTTAGCAATTCATTAGTAAACTTCTTCTTTAAAAAATAAATCTTCCAGATTTGTTGAAATTTCTAGCAGAAATTGCCTGCTCCCCCCCTCCGTCCCAATTCTACGATCACCAGGCGTGTATATCACTTTAAACATTATTATCCCATCCAACGAAGTTCGGAGGGATATAGGGACCTCCATCCATCCTTCCGTCCTTCCGTCCGTATTTATGTATGTCCATATGTCCAGGCAATAACTCAAATACTGCTGGGCCGATTGTGATCATATTTTGTACACATGTGGCCTATCAGATTAAAAGTTCTGTTCCAAAGCCCAAATTTTTTAGATGGCCACTCTTTCCAAAATGGCAGCCATTTCAGTTATTTAGGTACAGTATATAAAACTGTAATAGCAATGTGTTTTAAATGTAAAAAAGTTATGTATGATATTAATAAAACTAGACATGTAGATATTTAATGAACACATGGCAGCCATCTGGAAAAATAGCTAGTGCTTGGTGGTTGGTGTTTCAAGTCTAGCATCTGTAACAAATGGCAGGTAGTGACATTTTGCATGTTAATATTATTTTCCCAGGCAAAATAAATAAGTGGCATTATTTTTGCAGTTTCTCAGTGTGTTGGGTACAAAGAGATGCAGCTGGATGTGAGGAGTGACCTCCTGTCCCCTGAAGTCAATGGAGTGTATATACATCAGCCTAGCTCTAGCAAAGACAAGCCAGTGTTTAAACACAAAAAGTCTGAATTCTTTCTGTATTCCGCCCAGTTTGAATGGAGGATCGGGGATAGTTTATCAGAAGAATATTCGCAGCCATATCACAGTATTCTGAACACTATTGTCCAAAATCGTGACGAAAGCAAACCTTTAAAGGTAAATGATCTATTAATTACATATTTCTACCACCTCAAAAAGATGAAGTAATGAAGAAATGCTGACAATTTGAAGCAAATTGGACTTACGTTTCAAAAGTTATGACTACATGTAGTTATGACTAGTTAAAGCATGAAAAAAGCCATATTTTCACAAAACTAATGTTGCAAGGCAAAATTTCTATTTTTCCCAAGTGTCAAAAAAATATTAATCATCAAAAGTATCTGAAAACAATGTATTTTTCTGAAAGATAATTTAGTTCCAAGTATTATGATTGCAATCCAATGTGATTCAAGTTAGGATGAAACCAAATATTGGGTATTTTGTAAATGTCACACTTTTTTGTTACGCAATTTTGGCATTAGCAATGATGATCGCAACGGTCGAAAATATCGGCCTTTGAAAAGATTTATGCAACAGTTTTCACATCACTAAATCAGTAAATGATTAAAGATTTGAAAAATAGAAGATTGATAGTGTTTTCTTTGCAATATATATTTCTGTATGCACTCAAAAAATATATTTTGATTCAAAAAATGAAACCAATCACATCCGTAATCAGTGTTTCAGCTTGATTTCTATCAAAATTGCAGCTTTAGCCATCTAAAAACACATATTATGCAATGTGTTTAGGCAGAATCTAGTTAAATTAGCATATGAATTCAATGTTACATTCAAATGGTTCCTGTAAATTGACAAAAACACTCATCCGAAATCAGTCACATTCGTTATCAAAAAGCATACATGATCATTTGTCAGACTTTCTTCATGTTATATTGAGTAATTCATTGATAAATCGATTTGAAATACAGGTAATCGAATTGTAAATATGATTTTTCGTGAAGTTCAAAAGATCTGACTGAAAATAAGAGTTTTGCTTGTTGTGAAAAGTTGAGATTTTTTAAAAAATGAAAGATTTTTTCTGTCTTAGGTAAAAACACAGGGAAATGTCATAAATCTTAACACGGTTTGCATTTTTAATCTATATGATGTATCAACATTATATTATAACCTTTAAAGCAACTTGGCTTGCCAAAGGAATGGTGTATTTGCACCAAATATAACAAGGTGTCTTAAGTCACATCCGTAATCACTTAAATAAAGGATACCTTAATAATGATATTATTCGTGAAATATGATTGAGAAGTGAGCTGATTAGTACTTTTAATATACCTGGTCCCTAAATAAATTGAATATAGTGGAAGTGTAACTAGAAACTGTAGTCTAGCAGACTTGTATTACCAAGCAGCACCTTGGGCAGCATGGTTTGAAAGATATGTCAAACAGATAAAACAAAAATTGAAATCTCAAAGCAGAGGTACATAGAGTGATGAGGAAAGTGTTATCATGATTGATGATTATCTCATATTATTGATAGCATTATAAGACCTGGTGATCAACCCCTAATTCTGGACAGACATGATGATTCCATCAGTAATGACACGGACACAATTGCTAAAGGTGAACCTCCAGATTTTTGGACTTAATGTTGATGTCTGATATTGATGATGAACAACCATCTACTTATAGTACTTGTATATAAGCATTCCACCTTTGGAGAAGAAATATAGAGGAGTGAACTGGATTGAAAGTCTAATACCTATAACACTTGAAAAGAAACCTGGGATCATTGATAACTTCAATCATCACATACAACCTAAAAAAATCTTCTTTGATAAAGAAGAAAAAGAAAAAACAGCAATAAGTGATAAAAGTATCAAGGCGTTGCTAAAATAGTTCCATTGTTCAGAAATGTTAATTGCTTCCTAATTTGAATGTAATTTTCAGGTACAAATACCTCATTCTATTCAGGTTCTACATTTTCAGTCTTTCACAAAGTACATATTTTAATTGAACCATAAAATGATTCATCATAATTAACAACAGAAAACTGAAAAGATAATGGGAAGAAAGTAACAGAAATTAGAATTTGAAAGATGTAACGAAAATGAATTGAAAGAAACTCTACTATTTCCCAATCAGATCATTAGTTCTCAATGTATAGTTAAGCCCTAGAAAGATTCTTCCCTTAAATCAGTACCAACCCCCAGGAACCTCTGTTGTAAATGGCACTAATCAGAAAAAACACAAAAAGGTCCCAAAACTGCATAACATATAAGCATATGGGTACTGATGTTAAAGTTAAAATTGCAATGGCTGATAATAGGTGACTTATAACTGAGTATAGTGGACTTGTTACATTTGAACTGATGTGTCACATCCGTAATCAGATTCATATTTCGTTCTGCACAAAATTATTCAATGCATTGGACCATATACTGCTACCAATTTGTATTTCATTTAGAGGAGATAAGTCCTCTCCTTTCATAAAAAAATAAAAAAATTGTTTTGGTAGTCCAAGTAACAAACATATGAGAAACGAAAGTGCAACAAATATTTTGCGCAAAAATGTGTCAGATTTCAGTTTTTATTTTGTCTTATTTCTACAAGACAAAGTTAATTTTCACTAAACCTTTTACTGTTGTGTTAACTAAGACATTATGCTATAATATTAAAAACCTTTTTACTGAATGTAAGATTTTGTTAATAAGTGTTCTGACAGTTTAAAATATTAATGTCACATCCGTAATCAAAATTTAGTCATAGATAGAACATGATGCCAATTTTTTTCAAGCAATAATACTTTAAAATCCTTCTGGAATTATCAAGGTAATATATTATATTTTTTAAAAATACAATGATTTAAAAGATTTTGTAATGTCTAAATTTGACCCTGTTTGCAACATACTGATGCAGAATACTGTGATTTGGCTGTAAGTAAGTATAAATACTGTAAAAACTGTGAAGTGGAACACTTCTGAAAAAGGAACATCAGCATGGAATACTCTTTAGGGTCCTCTTTATCTTTTAAACCTCTTTTATTAATTGATGTACTGTTTAATAAAGAGGGTATTTTGCCTCATAGAAGTGAATTAATCACAAGAGTCCACGGAAGAATTTAAAAAAATGAGACCCACACATTTATTCAGCTTTCAGATGAGTTTAGTAAAAAATTAATGGTTAAAGAAAAGTTGACGTAAACACAGAATGAAATCCTGATTATGGTTATTTATCTATCCAGAATGTGATTGCTCGTGTATTCCAAAATGCTGATACTCCTGAGGATATTGACAGGCCCTGGGAGGTGAATCTCAATGGAACATGGATTCAGGACAAAAACTTCATGATTAGACAAGGTACAGTAAAATCTGCCCTAGTGAACAAATGTATGTATATGTATGTGCAGTAAACCATGTCTTAGTGAACACTTTTTAGTATCATACAGATATCTCTGTCTTAGAGTCTTAGCATGTTTTCTTGATAGATAATTTGTCTGGAAAGTTGTTATTATTATTTAATGACAAACATTTAATATTTATTGTGATTTTCTATCATTGATGAGAAAATTAGCTGGCTTACATCTAAAGTAAGCTGTCTCTGAGAATATGGGCTAGGCCAAATAAGGAATACTTCCATTTTATGAACATTAGTTTTTTCGTTTATGGAAATAAAGTGTGTGTTTGTGAAACCTCTTTTGCATCATTTGAGAATAAACAGAAAAAAGAAATTAGGCCATTTAAAGTTAAGTATATGTTCAACATCCTATCTCATGATTTAGATCAAGAATTTTTGAAGATTCTGCTACTTACCAAAAACCTGACCAACTAAACTACTCACTTTATATGGCCTTTGGGATATCCTAACCCCTAAAATGTAATTTCACTAATAAATACAAATATGTTGTTTAATTTTTGTAATTGTAGCAAAGATTATTGAAGAGAGAAAAACTGGAGTAAAATTAAATACCATTGAAAAAGTTCCTTTAGTAGTCTATAACACTGGCTCAACAAAGTATAGTGTACTCAAACACATACTAGATGACAGTGTGGGGGACTATGATTTCTCAACCCAGGGAGCAAGTTATTTGATCGCAGACAGATATGTTGGCATTGAAATGAATTCTACAAATGTAAGTTTTAATTTAATTCAAAATTCTGATAAAACTTGGACAATAAAGAAAATTAAAGGCTTAACCAGGTGTATAGGGAGTGTAAAAATTGCAAGCAACATGAACAGTTGAACAACCAATGTATACCTCTCAGTCTCAAATATAATATCTCTCAAACGATCAATGATCATTATCGATTGGTTAAGTTGTTTATGTTTTGAAGTACATTATTGGGAAATTCATTAATGTTGAAATTCTCCCAAATTCATGGGTAGGGCCGGGATCGAAAGATTTTTCCGTTGTAGGGGAGCATGCTATTTTCATAAAATAAATAAATAAATTTCACAAATTAATTTTTAACTCATGTTTCATTATACCAAAGAAAAATTTAATAATCCATGCAATGAGTACATCATTTGTGGGTGACCTTCACTTCTGTTTGCAGTCAAATAAAGCCATTGCATGGAGTAGGCAATTTTCTTACTTATAATGGCTCATTTTTGAATTGATCAATTTCATCCGTCATGAATTTCTGACTAATCCAATTAAGGAACAAAATCAGAAATCTAATGGTTATGTCCTGTTTTCAAACTTATGGAGGGGGTGTATATTGCGTACCATTATTATTACATTTATTTGTATTTTTGGTCTATGTGGGTTTTTTAGGGATTAGTCATTAAAGATATACATTTGAGCAATATAATAGTGATAACTTTAGTTGCTTACCTTCATTTATTACTAACCATATCTCATTTACCATTTTCTTGATCTCACCTTAGTTGGGGGATAATTCATGGGTGGTCTTTTTGGGGGAGGGTTGGCAGATAAATACTTACAAGATTCGCTCAGATATCAAGAGCTACTGTACCTCCAGCCACAATAAAAAATGGAAGGAAATTGATTATTTTCTGCGCATGCGCGTTGACCTACATTGAACTGCATCTCCTGGCAACCAGTTTTGTTTACATGCAAACTTCAGAATTGAAATGTTATAATTGACTAACTCCCATGAAAAACACATAAAACCAATTAATTTATTATTAATTGTTATGTAATTACTAATTAGTCTTTTGAAATTGCTCATTGTTTACATTCCAGGTGAATTATGATCTTCTACGCAAACTGAGGAGCAGTCCAAGGATTCTGACCTACAATGCTGATGGTGTGTCAGATTCTTTGAAGCTAGAACTTCAGCAAATCATTGCACATATGGTCATTAATGTAAGCTTCTCTAAAGCATGAATTTAGGTTTAAATTGCATTTTTATGTCCCCACCACCTAGTGTGGGGCCATATTGTAGGCCTGGGCACGTCTGTCCTCTGTATGTATGTTAGTATGTACATGGATGTATGTAGGTCCATCCATATGTCCGAAAGTTTTCCTCAAAACCGCTACAGATATCACCTTCAAATTTTCAGGGATAACTTATGAGTACATGCTGATGTGATAGAAAAAAAATTGACTAAAAGCCTACTTCCTATCGGCCATTTTGAAGTCAAATGCTGAAATCCTTGTCTGCAAACTTAGAAAAACGGCTTCACAGTTACTCTTAAAATGTCAACATCTTCTTTAACTCACTTCATTCTACATCCGATTAGATTTTGGGCATGTTGTCTCAGTCATGGCAGCCATTTTGAATGACTTAAGAAAAGTCAGCGAGCGATAATACTTTGGAACATATTAATATGGTGTTTTTAAGTTTTCATTATTTAGTAGCCTTATAAATAATTTCCGGTGTCCTGTATTGTAAAAACCCATGTCACTGTCAAACTGTTAAACAGTAGTTGTATCAGATAACTCTTTATTTTGAATTTTCAGTCCTAAAATCTTTTCTGTAAATTCTTGTCTATGCGTTTCCAGGTGAACGGTCTGATGGATTGATTTCAAATTTTCAGGGATGATTCTTTGTATGAAAATCTCAAACTGATTAGCTTCCGGGGATTCTGGGAAAATATCAAGGCCGTCATTTTGGATTTTTGTCGTAAAAATTTGTCTCGTCAACTGATTAGTGCTGGCCATTCAGGATGAAAAATCTAATAGACTCACTATTTGGTGGTAACATGTTGTACACGTTGTGTCCTTGTTATGATTGTTTTTATATAATGTCAGCCTAAGAGATGTGGACTCCTGTCATTGCTAGTGATAGTAACCCTTTAAATTCTGTCCTTGATAGTGATATTAAACCTTGGAATTATTTCATCGAGGCACTTGCAAAAAGTATATAAAAATAACAGACCACAACTGCAAATGAATTGGAATAATCTAAATTGCTAAAAGAAAAGACATACTTGTTACAGGAGAGTGTTCCGACTGCCTTGAAGCCCCGCTATGGCGAACCTTTACATAGGGTAAAGTCCTGTGTGTATTTTGAGGCCCTGTCAAATGGAACATTCATGTAAGACCAAATAAGAATATTAACATTTTCACATATTCACATTTTCACAATGAAGTCACTTCTGATGTAATGGAACAACATTCGTGTCAAAATAAGAAGCTTCACATTTTTTCACATTTTCACAATGAAAATGGAACATATGTAGTGAAACCTGGCTAATCCGTACACCTCCCAATCTAAACACTTCTTGAAGTCATTTTTTCCCCATTGACTCCCATGTTAAAACATGAAATGTGAACAGTGAACAGTCATATTTGAAAAATTAACCTGCCTAAATTGAACACTTTTCATAAAATATCACATGTTTTGTACAAAATTGCACAAATATTTAAAAGTTAAACACTGATTTGTCATGCTCTCAAAACTTTTGGAAAGAGCCTTGAAAGGTCTCAATCATAATAGGATTTTCTAGCGTGACTAGATTCATTGAAATGAATTTTCAAATTACTTGAATGCAATAAAACTTGTCTTGAGACATCACCTGTTATGTACACACATTCGTTATGCAGTCTGTGAACAAAGGTAAGTAGTAGTATAAGTCAGTATAGATGGGGTAAGACATTGTTAGTATCTTACCCAAGTCAAATTTTTTTGTGAGGCTGGCCAGACATCTTAAGTCATCACCCCAAAGATCAGTTATATTCCATAAAACCAAGTCCTTTGGAATGGTCACCCATTATTTGTTTTTCGGTTCATTATACATTTATTTCAATCATATTGCAGTCAAAAGAGTTACACAGGTCGCTGCCTAGCGCAATGTGCATTACAGGCTAGCGTTTTGAAATGAATATAAATTAAATTAATTAAATTAATTGAGTGAGTTATACATATAAATGTGCTAACTAGTAGCCTACACCTAATGGTGAAAAGTAAATCAAAATAAAATAGGTTAGGTTAAGCTAAGAATAAAATCAACGAACATTCCTTTTAGTTGAGAATCTTGTTGAATTGAGAATGAATTTTTGAAAATTAAAAATTCAATTTTGTCTTGTCCACTGAGATGGGTCTCAAGGTTTTGCTGCTCAAGGGTTTCTTCAAGGTTTTTCCTTTCCACAGACACATAGATTAGTTGTGTTGGGAAAATTATGAGCAAACTTTTGTGATTCAAAATAGAGTCCGCATCTAATTCTGTTTAAGGTAATTTCTTGTTTTCGAGAAAGATTGAGTTTAGAAGTTGTATTGAAGTCATTAAACTTTGAAGATTTCTTTTTGATTTTACTTTTGAACAAAGAGATGGTGGGAGTAGACCTCTCTTCTAGTGATAACTTATTCCATTCAGAGATCAATCTTAGCACTGGTCCATTAATTAGTCGTGCACTTGATTTAACCGGTATTTGGAAAGGTCTATGGGTTCTGAGAACCCTTCTTTGCTCAGATTTATAATGGTCAAAACATTCAACAATATAATCGGGTGCCATATTTCTACAAATTTTAAACATAATAATGAGATTTTTGTCTCTCCTTCTGGACTCAAGAGGTTTCCACTTCAGGCAATCAAGAGTTTTAAGAGTACTTGATCCATGTAATGCCCCAGAGCAGCTGAGTGCTGCTCTATAGTGCAATCTGTCTAGTTTTATCAAATTTTGAGCTGTGCTTGAGCCATAGATTGAACTACAATAGTCCAGGTGTGGTAAAATAAAGGAGTTATATATAAGTTCAAGGTGCCTAGATTTTAATTTATAAGATAGTGATTTCAGTGGATTGAGTTGTTTTTGCACCTTGCTGGCAAGTTCACTTATATGTACATCAAATTTTAAGCGGTGGTCAAAAGTGAATCCCAGGTGTTTATGGGAAGTTTTGTATGGGATTTCAACACCTTCAAAGAATAAGGGCATAATGTCAAAATTATTAATATTCTTGGGTTGGAATATCATGTGAGCACTTTTTGATGCTTTAAATTGTAAATGCCATTTAATAGACCACTGTTCAATTATGTTCAGATCATGTTGCAGGTCAAAGGTTTGGTTATCATCGATATTGAAAGAGGCATAGGCTGACGTGTCGTCCGCATAAATATAACATTCTGATCTGAGGTTGTCAGGAAGATCGTTTATGTAGATGAGAAATAGGAGTGGCCCAAGGACAGATCCCTGAGGTACTACCCATTATTTGTGATCATATCCCATTCATATGTTCATTACATTGTATTTTTTTAAATTTGATTTGCAGTGCCCCTAGTGGATATGGTGTGATTTCATTCACTAGTCCATTCTCTAAGGCCCTCAATTACATAGAGTTTGATATCATTGAAAGTGGAGGAAAGATAGTGAACCTGAACCTTGCGCTCCAATGTCACCATTTAGTTGGTGTATATAATGATTCAAATCCAACTGAATATGAGTGAGTAGCCTATCTTATGAAAATACATGTCAACCACAAAAATAGTCAAGTCAGCATTTAGTTGGTGTATATAATATATATTTGCATTGATGTTAAAAAGATAATCTTTTTTGAACTGCATTAAGAAATACTTGATGATTTAAATTTTTTTTGAAAAATGGCGGGAAATTTGAATATTTGAAATGCTCACAACTTTTTAATCTGTAAAATAACTTTTTAAGTCATGACAAATAGTGAATGAATGAAAAAAAAATATTTTCAAACTTCAGACGGGGACTTTAAGAAGACACTTTCAAGATGGTTACTGGATTTCAAAATGGCCCCAATTTTTCTTAAAATCTTTGATAAGTCAAATACCAGTGGATGGATTGGGTTCAGATTTTGTATGCTCATAACTTAGGGACAAAGGAGCTCCATTCAAGAAGAAATTTTCAAAATGCCCCTTATTATCCAAACATGTCTTGTCGGTGGGATTTGCTACTACATGGAATTGCTGTTTTCTAGTTTGATATTATCTCAAATAAAACATGTGTTAATGAATATTATAATTTCCGTTTCTCTTCTCAATCCGTGATTCTTATTTCCATTTGATATTATTCGTTTTATTTTCATTCTTACTCTTAAGGTTACGTGCAGTACAGGGTGACCGAGTTGGTATGGGAATCGTTTTCCCAGAAACCCACGTGGAAAACAGTCTTCAATTAGATGGCGAGGAATACACAGTGTACTACACACTAAATGGAAGAATCGTATCAGAGGAAACAATTGAATCAGATAATGAATATATTCCTGCTGTCAGTATGATGTGTAAAATGACTCCTGTCACGTTAAAGTTCCACAGCCTTATCAAGCCGCCAGAGGTAAGGGATGTCATTCAAATAACAACAGTTGTTGTGAAAGAATAAAAAACAGTAAGGGGAGGGGGTAAATGATGTGCTGCTACCCTATTCTGTTATATACCATTTTATTCATTATGAAAAACTTATTTGTGCTTTTTATGTCCCCACCACATAGTGTGGGGCCATATTGTCGTCCTAGGCGCGTCCGTCCGTCCGTCCGTCTGTCTGTCTGGTTGTCTGTCTGTCCGTCCGTACGTCCGGCAGTTTTCTCCAAAACCGCTACAGGTATCACCTTCTAATTTTCAGGAATAACTTATGAGTGCCTATAGATGTGGATGAAAAAAATTTAACTCGAAACCTACTTCCTGTCGGCCATTTTGAAGTCAAATGCTAAAATCCTTGTCTGCAAACTTTAAGAAAAACTGCTTCACAGTTGCTTTTAAAACTTTAACATCTTGTTCAGCTCACTTCATTCTAGATCTGATTAGGTTTTGGACCTGCTAGCTCAGTCATGTCAGCCATTTTGAATGTCTTAAGAAAAGTTAGCGCGCGATAATACTTTGTATCATATTGAATGGTGTTTTTGAGTTTTCATACTTTAACTATTTAGTAGCTTTATAAATAATTTCAGATGTACTTTGCTGTAAAAGCCTACTTTATTGTTAACAGTAGTTATATGTGATAATTTTGTAAAAAGAAATCAGCAAAAACTCATAAGGACTTTTTTATTGTCGGCCATTTTGGATTTTTCGGTCCTAAAATCTTGTCTGTGAAGTCTTGTCTGCGCGTTTTCAGGTGAACCGTTTGGTGGATCAATTTCAAATTTTCAGGGATGATTCTTAGTATAAAAATCTAGATCTCATTAGTTTTTTGGCATTCTGGGTAAATGTCAAGGCAGCCATTTTGGATTTTCCGTCCTAAAATCTTGTCTGTAAAGTCTTGTCTACTCGTTTTCAGGTGAACTGTTTGGTAGATCAATTTCAAATTTTCAGGAATGATTCTTAGTATGAAAATCTAGAACCGATTAGTTTTTTTGCATTCTGGATAAATGTCAAGGCAGCCATTTTGGATTTTCCGTCTTAAAATCTTGCCTGTAAAGTCTTGTCTACGCGTTTTTAGGTGAACAGTTTGATAGATCAATTTCAAATTTTCAGGGATGATTCTTTGTATGAAAATCTACATCTGATTACTTTTTTTGCATTCTGCGTAAATGTTAAGGCAGCCATTTTGGATTTTCTGTCCTAAAATCTTGTCTGTAAAGTCTTGTCTACCCGTTTTCAGGTGAACCGTTTGGTAGATCAATTTCATATTTTCAGGGATGATTCTTAGTATGAAAATCTACAAACAGATTAGTTTTTTGACATTCTTGGTAAATGTCAAGGCAGCCATTTTGGATTTTCCATCCTGAAATCTTGTCTGTAAAGTCTTGTTTACATGTTTTCTGGTTAACTGTGTGACGGATCAATTTCAAATTTTCAGGGGTGGTTCTTAGTATGAAAATCTAGAACTGACTAAATTTTTGGCATTCTGGGTAAATTTTAAGGTGGCCACTTTGGATTTTCCGTCCTCAAATTGTGTTGGTAAAGTCTTGTCTACTCATTTTCAGGATAACCATTTCACGGGATCACCACTTGGTGGGGACATTTTGTACACATTTGTGTTCTTGTTATTACATTGTTTGCTATAACTGAAAAGTAGGAGAGCGATTTTTTTGAAAATTATATATTATATACATGTAGTTTTTCCTATTTGTCAACTTTGGCCAGTTCTTAATACTAATAATGGATTTGTGAATCAATCACAGGACTGACAGATAATTTCAGTTGTAGTGACAAATATGGTCAACTTGAACACATAATAGTTGACAACAATTTTAGATATTGTTTTTTTTGTAGGATTACCAAATTGATATTTCATGTATTAAGAAGGGGTTGTTACTACACCTGACTATAGATGACTCTGGCATCCTGACCAAGTAAGTCAATCATTTACAGTGAAACTTGTGTAAGTAGAACATGTTTGATACTCCTAAATAGTGTTCCACTTTTAACTCAAGAGGTTTTAATGTATTTGATAATCGGTAAGTGGTGCGTCTGTCAACAATAGTGGCACGTTAAACCTCTGTTAATAGGATTCGTGTTTTAAGTTATTTCTGTTCAACATCAATACAGAAAACCCCCCTTTGACTCCTTGATCTAAAGCTCGCCTATTTTCAAAATGGCCGCCATTTTTTCTCGCGAAATCCACTTTTGGACCGTTTGCTTTAAAACCTCTGTCAACAGGATCCCCATTTTAAGTTATTTTTATTCAACATCAATACAGAAAACCCCTCTATGACTCCTGGTTCAAAAGCTAGCCTATTTTTCAAAATCGCCACCATTTTTGTCTCTCAAAATTTTTGCGATCCATAGTGGTCATTATATTATCTGTTCTGGTCCAGGACAAATAATGAGTTTGTACTTAGTTTTCAATAGGTGGTGATATTAATAACTTTGTCTTACGGTCAACATTGTGTAAGATTTCACAATTTTGCCATTTGAACTGAGATTATTGGTATATTATTTTCTTCAGAGTAAATGATATTGAAGATAAGGGCCTTTTCTGTGCTTCAACAAGCCTCAAACCCTGTTGCTCTAGCTTCACAGTTGAGGTAATCACCCTTGAATCTGATGAAGATGATACCACAACAGGTAAAAAGAAGAAAAGAGGAGAATTTGATTGCTACTTTGGCTTCATTCATGAGGCATTTAGTCCAGATGATATCGATCTGGCAAGGATGGATGGCTCTTTCATTTACGATGCTGATAAAAACAAGTTAGTGAATGTTTCTGTCTGTGAGATTGAGAGAGCAAAATCTTTAACCATGTAGCTATCTGCAAAGGTCATGACAATGTTGCTTTTCCTGAGAAAAGAATTGGTCTGATCCAATATAAAAGTTACTGAACATTAAGAATGGTGATTTGTGTGTGGAAATGGATTATATATTGTCTATTTTAACATTGACATTATACACATAAAAATGGTCAGTTTCGTAGCCAATTGTTTCATTCATTCAAACTCGTTATTTTATAGGATTGTGAGTAATGGAAATGAAACGAAGAAAAAACTGAAGAAAACTGAGAAACTGAAGGTTGGTGACATATTTAAGATCGAAATGGAGAACCTAAAAGGGAGTATTCTGTTTGTTGGAGACAACCCTAAGATTAACATATACAAGAATGACAATGAATTGGTGAGTGGTAGTGTTTTTCTTTGTTTAATTTATTTGTTTAACAAGATTATTGAATGGGTCACTTACTCATCTGTCCATCCGTTTGTCTATCCATCGATTCCATCTGTCCGACACATTTCTTAAAAATGGAGCCGTTTGAGCTTAGTATTTTTAAAGTTGTTCTTGAAGTACATACAGTACTTCCAATTCAAGCAGAAAACACTTTACTATGAGAGATTAACATTTATCCGATGGATATTAAATATACATTCCCTGTCGGTCCCTCGTGGAGATGGGCGATATCCACTCATGGATAAAAATGGTATCCCTCAAAAATCATAGGATATCCTCTATTCATCCTATAATTATATTTTCATCAGAGGGCAGATATGACTTTATTTTCCAGCTGAGCGATATATCATATCTGTCCGCTAGGGTTTCCCTTGATTCATTGATATAGTGATATCTTAATATATAAGACTCTGTATAATCCTAATATCCTGAACCTCATATAGGATAATCTCTATATATTCTTTATTGTCATATATGTTTTAAACTAATTACTAATAAGCTGACAGACCATTATTTCATAGGGAACTCCAGAATAATTTGAGACATTATTTGTATTATAAGTTATATTTTGCAGTAGAGGATGGGGTACAATTTTATTGTGTCACCCTGTCCAAATTAATTTTTTGCTATTTAGCTATACAGTGAGTCATGGCAAACAGGGACAAATGGAGATGACTCAGATGATGATACGCCTATTGCAGTTCGTATTGTACCAGCCATCAACATTGGCACAGGAGTACAAGTGAAGATTCTGAACTACGAGCCTGACTACACACTACAGGTATGTTGCATTTTTGGTGTTCGGCATTCATTGGTTGGCGTTTGATGGTTGGTATTTGGCATTTGGAATCTATAACAAATGTCAGATGGTGACATTTTACATGTTAATGCTTTGATCTAAATTGAAATTCAAGCAAACATCAATCTCACAAATATACATGACATGCCACCCAGACATCCAAAGAGGCGTATAATAGTCACACAGTAAAATAATAATGAACATTAAAGATGTGAAAATTATTGTCAGTTTTTATCGTACCTTAAAAAGGTACGATATTGTAATATGTACACTCTAAAAGTGAATATGGTTGGTACAAAGATCTAATAACAAAAAAGGATAACCTTAAATGAATGTCCTGGTATGTAAAATATATTCTTAGCTATATATGCTTTATTTTAGAAAGCATACTGGGCCAGTAGAAACATCTCTAAAGGTCTTACATACAAGATGAATGTCTACAATGATGGAACAATACAGTGAGTCTAAATCATATAATAAATGTTTGAGGGTAGTTCAAAAAGTAATACATGTATGTTGAGAGTCAGAGCATAATCCAGTGGACCATCCTGCTAGATCACAGAACCATTGTTTACGACCCCTTCTTCTTCTTTTAGATATCTTCTTGCATATTGTTTTCATGCAAAAATATGAGATCATTTATAAATATGGGTCAGATGTTTTTGATAAATGTATGGAGGCCTTTATCTTTGGTTTATTGGATAATTGAATTGATATTAATATGAACCTAAGGACCTCAGTTTGAGGAAAACATATTATTTTAATGAGACCTGTCATATGGTAAGAAAATACTCATTGGTGAAAGATATGGCTGTTTGTCTGAAATAACTTGACATACCATACCTGGTCCTTCCTTTAAATGGAACTCCCAAAGAGAGACATGAAATATCCATAGTATCTGAAACGATTTGCCATACCAAACCTGGTCCTTTAAATGAAATTCCAAAAGATATAAAACATTCATAGTATCTGAAATGATTTAAATATGATAAAATGTTATTTTTATGTCTCCCAAAGAGAGATATAAAATATTTATAATATCTGAAATTACTTAAATATGATTATCATAAAATGTTGTAACATACATATGATATAATAAGGATATATGTTGTTTTCAGAGGAGATCCTGACCAGAGTAAATTCCCCACATTTCTGGCTTTAAACTCTCTAAGCAGATGGAACTCAAAGTTTCAGGTATAATTTATCGGTTCCTTTAATTTTTCACATCTGTGTGACTTTGTCTTCATTGTTTGATTTGGAGACAATTCTAGCGTATATCTGATCTAATGTATATCTGATTAAACAAATAATTGATCCAGTGTTTATCTGATGTAGTGTACATCTGATCAAGTGTTTATCTGATCTATCGTAAATCTGATCTAGCATATATCTGATTAAACGTATAATTGATCCAGTGTTTATCTGATGTAGTGTACATCTGATCAAGTGTTTATCTGATCTATCGTAAATCTGATCTAATGTATATCTGATTAAACGTATAATTGATCCAGTGTTTATCTGATGTAGTGTACATCTGATCAAGTGTTTATCTGATCTATCGTAAATCTGATGTAGCGTATATCTGATCTAACGTATAATTGATCAAGTGTTTATCTGATCTAGAGTATATCTGATCAAGTGTTTATTCGATCTGGCGTATATCTGATCTAGCGTATATCTGATCTAACGTATAATTGATCAAGTGTTTATTCGATCTGGCGTATATCTGATCTAGTGTTTATCTGATCTGACGTATATCTGATCAAGTGTTTATCTGATCTGGCGTATATCTGTAGATTTAAATTTCCTCTTTTGAATATTCACAATGTAATTTGGGTGATATTTCTATATTTTTCATAAAAAAATTATTAGCCCAGGAGACTGTTCTCCAAACAGAGACTTGTCCTTTCAATTAATCTAATGCTGTTATACAGGTGGACTTAGGTAAGCTGATCATACCTCGTGATCCTGATGGCAGTGATGCTCAGATTCTCTTTGAAACCATTGGTATAGGATTAGCCCATGCTCACCACCCACTAAACTGCCAACCCTCTACATCTGGTCCTGGGTCGTTATTCGTAGAGATCAGGAACGGGTAAGTTTAATATGGCTTTGTTTACCAAAAAATGACTCTATAAAGGATTATTTCAGGGAACAGAAGTAGTAGATTGTAACCCAATGAACTACTATTTTCAGGGTGGTTTTGGTAAGGGGTTCAAGTGAGTTTAAAACTATGAGTTACATGTTTGCTTTATTACGAAGCATTTTAACAAAAGCTTAGTCTTGCTCAAAGACTGTATCCCCCCCCCCGTTACCTTCACTGCAATATACAGAGAGAAGGATAAGGGGGGGGAGTACAGGGTCTTTTAAGCAAGACTAACAAAAGCTTTGCAACAAAGAATTTTTGAGGTATTGTACTTGCTATGTTATAAAACCTTTTGTGAAATGCTTCAAATGAACCATGAATTTAACACTCAGTTGATTAACACTAGTACCAATCACTTTTTCTTGTGACAATTCAGGCAATCAGGATTGATACTTATGTCAGTATCGTGTCACAAAAGTCTACGCCAGCAAGTAGAATTTGAGGAAGAAAACATATACAAGGCATCAACTCCTGACGATATTAACAATAAAATATTGAAGATTCAACTAGATTTACATGAGGAGGTAAGTGAGTTGTTTCTTCACTCTGAATTGGGTACATTTGAAGTGTTTTGGGACTTAACCTTAAGTTGACCCGATAGTGTTATATTTAATACAATATACCCTATGTAAGTATAAGTTTAATATCTAATATTTATTGAATAGTTGTTTGCACGATCGTTATACCATGTCATTTTTGATAATATGGCAATTGTTTACATTTGTTATTTTACATTTTTTTCTATTTTTTTTAAAAATCTAATTTAATTTTGATATAATTTTTTCTATAATTCAAAAAGTTTAGTAGCAATTTTAGATGTGAATATTTATATGAATATATGAATGAATTTATATGAATAACAAGCTTGCTTTGCTAATTTACAGGTAGTTGCCATTTTGAAATGACTATTTTTATTTGTGTTTCATTTGTTACAGCTTTTGCAATAACATGGAACGTAGTGGAGCAATTAAGATGATATTTAATATGAAAATACTTTTACTCATGATTTACTGTCTCTGAAAAGGCCAGGAGCTGGGATTTTAATTTTCTGTTCCAGAATTTATCACGGCATGGCCACTTTGTTATCAGGGCATCGCCAAACTACAGTTAAATTAATCTACAGAGATATTGTGATGTGATGGTTGCGATGTTATAGATTTCTTTTCTTAAAGTATATTTCAATGAAATGAAGAACTTCCTCCATATTTGGTTTGTATGAAATAATGTATAGGAACTTAATTGTTTTTTTCTTTTTTTTGTCTGTTTTCAGTTGGAAATGTCTATAGAGGGAATTCCTTTGCCAAACCAGCTTATCCCTTTCTCTGTGTATCTCGATGATGATAAGGTCAGTGCTGTTAATTATCACAACAAAGAAATTTGGTAGGGATATAGTCAAACCCTTCGTTTTTGTAGATTATCATTTTTTATATATTGTTTAATTTGAAGACACCTTTTAGTTTTTGAAAATTTTGATCAAGAATTTTGAAGCCAATTTTTGACAGTGTTTTTTATTATTATTATTCGTACTTAAGTATTAAACTCATTTAACGTGCAGTATAGTTGTTTTAATCAGCAAGCATTCTTCAGTTTTCAGTAATAAACATATAAACTGATGCCACCCACTTAATAACAATTATTTTCTGATTTCTCTTTATTGGGTGGAATCAATGCCAATAGACTAATACACGTTAGACGAAAACATGGTCATTAACATAAATATCTCCCGCAATGCATCATTTCAAGTGGGATAAATGGTCCTTTAATTTAACCAAATTCTCCCAACCTTAAAACCATGTTTTTGCATATTGTTGGGACGATAAAGTTAATACTAACATCAAACATGAAATCAAGCCCACGTTATATACACGATAACTTGCATCTTGTTTCATATCGAGTCATGGCTTCCGGGAAAAAAGTCGGTGATGTCACGGTAAAACATTTCATGATTGTCATCAGTTTCGAAAATATTCGTGAAAACGCTTTGCAGATTGTCATAAAGACATATATTTTTATCGATTCTGCAAATATACGTAAAGAAGAATGTCAAATAAAGCTGAAATGATGTGTTCATAATTGGACCCTGTATATTTCAATGGGAAAAAAACTCTAATGTTAAAATGTGGAACCGGAATTTGAGCTCTGCAACACGGGAGGTAAGAATATTGTTCTTATTCTGAACTATCGTGTATTAGTCTATTGATTTAGATAAGGGACCAATGCACTTGATCAGTGTCCTGGGAGAGCTATCTATAGATACCCCTCCTCTTGTTAACTACATATGAGGAAACATTCTCTCAGCATTTTGAGAGTTTTTCTTCACAATAGTTTTCAAAGTTTTACAAATTTTAGCAAACTATGTCGCACATGCATTTCTCATTAATGGAATTTCTTTTTTCATTTTAGAAACCACTGGAGAAATGTCCAAAGATTTGTGATGAAAATTCTTGGCGATTTAATAATTGATATTGGCAGAGCTTAACTATAAAAGATTTACTGTTATTTTGATGTTTTTGTTAATTTTATATTTTCAGTTTGTTTTCAACGTGCATGGTTTTACAGTAATTTCATATTTTCAGCTTGTTAGCAACATGCATGGTTTTACTGTAATTTCATATTTTCAGCTTGTTAGCAACATGCATGGTTCTACTGTAATTTCATATTTTCAGCTTGTTAGCAACATGCATGGTTTTACTGTAATTTCATATTTTCAGCTTGTTAGCAACATGGATGGTTTTACTGTAATTTCATATTTTCAGCTTGTTAGCAACATGCATGGTTTAACTGTAATTTCATATTTTCAGCTTGTTAGCAACATGCATGGTTTTACTGTAATTTCATATTTTCAGCTTGTTAGCAACTATAATTTCATATTTTCAGCTTGTTAGCATCATGCATGGTTTTACTGTAATTTTATATTTTCAGCTTGTTAGCAACATGCATGGTTTTACTGTTATTTCATATTTTCAGGTTGTTAGCAGCACACATTACTATGTTGGAGGAGGGCTCCACCCGCTAGTTGTATTTAAATACAATTCAATGTGTTACTACACTCAATATAAAGGGAGACGTCCAAAGTTGAAGATTCTCAACTACAGAGATCATGAGATACAGGCTGATTCTACTCAACAGGTAGTTATTATGACAATTGTGTAACATATGATTTTTGAGACTGAATGTTTCAGAGATACAGGGAAATGTACACATGAATTATTTATATTAGCTATATAAAACATAGAGTTAAGTCTAATATGGCTGTGAAAAATGGACAACCATTGTACTGGTCAAATTTTTGTACAGGGGAGTGCCGCTGAGACTCAAAATATCCACCCACATCTAGGGATTTTTTTCTCTAAAATGGATCCACATCTTGGGTTTTCTTTCAAAAATAGACCCACTTCAAGGTAATTTTTTTCAAAATCAGTACCCAGTTCTAGGATTTTTCAAAAAGTAGACCCAGTTCTAGGGATTTTTTCATCAAAATGGGACCCATATCTAGTTTTTTTTCTTCAAAATGGGACCCACATCTAGGGATTTTTTGGGGAAAAAGTGACCCACTTTAGTGGCACGTCCCCATATAGCCAATATATGGGAGTCCCCCCTCCGGGATTAAGCCAATGTACCGTAATTTCATGACATGTAAATGCATTTGTAATTTGCACGCTATAATTCTCATCCATTCTATGATTTGTAGAGCACAGAAGTAGGCAGTCCATTTATTTTGGTTGGTCACTCAGACAAACCTAAGCTGGATAAGAATAGTACAGAGAACAGAAATGCAAATGAAGAAAATAAACATCCAGATGATGAAAAGAAAGACACGGATGAAGAAGAGAAAGATAAAGATGAAAAACAGAAAGACATAAATGGCGCAGAGAATACAGACTCAAATGAAGAAAATGAACAATCAGATGATGAAGAGGAAGACACGGATGAAGAAAAGGAAGACGTAAATGATATTATGAGTGATCTTGGGGTCCGATTAGATTTCCAGGAGATGATAACTGAGTTAGAGAATACATTGACTACGATCAGGTTAGTTTTGGCAATGTTAATATCATAATATCATATCAAACCGCATATCATATCATACCATACAGACTAAATCATATATTATGATATAATATGTGTTTTCTGTTCAATTGTTGATTGTAATCATGAGATAAACCCAATATCAGATCATTTTTAATGATGTCATTTTATTGTCTTGTAAGATATCAACTCACTTGTGTCGATATTTGATATCAACTTGTTGATAAAAATATCATTCAAAATGATCTGAGAATCTATGTGTATCATATCATACCATATATCATATCTTATAATATCAAAGCTGATCAAAAGCTAGGGAGTCTTCTGAGTTGTTTATTATTGCCATAGTGATATGAGGTATCGAATGAGTCGAAGACTCAGAATGAGAAGAGCATGAAGAATCTGAAAGAGATTAAAGAAAGAATTAAACTCTCAATGTCTGCTAGGATGGTTTTGTATGGATCAAGAGTGAGAACATGTCAAAAAATCCAGACAACACTGTCAAGCAAAAGACTGGTGGTCTTTTCTCCCATTTGATATACACAAGCTATCAAAAAGACCCTTGGTGTGAATGAAGCAAATTAAGTTACATGGAAAGATAGGGTTAAATTATCCTATAGATGACGCTACAGTTACAGGCCCGTAGCCAGTATTTGCCAAGGGGGGTTCACTTTTTGGAAAATTCCAGGGGGGTTCACTTTTGACAATTTTGTTCCAAAAATGGCCAAAATCACTCAAAACGTGCTCAGAATGGTGAAAAACTGCATGATTTTGAAAGAATTTTTGGCCAGGGGGAACCCATCGAACCCCCCCCCTGGCTACGGGCCTGAGCTATACCAGTCTGTCTAATCTGAGCACCAGTGGAACCAGCCAAATATTTTTGATTTAACAGTTGTTCACATTATAAGGTTTCCAGTTCATGAGTCAACAGAAATTAATAAAATAGTGACCCAAAAAGTGGTAACATTGAGAGCTGCCCAGATTAGATCATCGTGGTAATCCAAGCCCTCTCCATCTCTATCCTTCTGATGCAACAGAGAGAGATGCTATGAGTATCAGAATGATATTAGATCATTTGTTCAGATACAGTATACAGGTTTTACTGAAAATGCGGGTTGGTGTCATTGCACACCTGATTGACACCTATATTTTATTATTTGATTGTAGAGGGAAGACTTCGGTGACATTTAAAGAGCAACGTTACTTTACACAGACATATGAAGCCATGCAAAGACTGATCCAGCTCCAGGATAATCTTAAATCTAGGATTACCACACATATTGTGCATCAACATGATGAAAAGGTAAACATGCTTTTTGCTTTCATAACAAAAAAGGTCTTATGGTTATGAATGGAACAAATCATGATTTTTATCTGATGGATCCGTTAGACATTTAAAACATTTTTAACAACCTGCATGAAGTTCTATCTAGAGCTGTTTTGTGCGAGAAATATAATTTTATACCCCCACCCCATGTTTTTAGGGGATGAACTTTATAAAAAAAAATGATAATGAAATAATTATCGTTAATTACAGTGTTAGTGTTGTATGAGTACATTTATATATTTTTTAGCTTTTATATTTTTAATGACTTACATTTGGTTATCATCAGCAGTTGGTAATTGGTATTGACATTCAATTTCTGTAACAAATTGATACATACACTTTAGTGACACACAACTATTTACACAATTTCCTTTTTAATATTGGGTATGAATATTACTTAATACCCAACATGGCTAAGGTTATTTATGCTACTTGTTTCTACTGATAATATAAAATTGTGTTTGCCTGTGGGAGTCGTTCACATTCAAATTCAAACTAAATAATTAAATTAAACATAGAAAAAGCTTAACAGCCCTTGAATTAGCTGGTCGTAATGCATATTATGCTAATCAGCTGTCTAATTAGCTTGAATTACTGATTAATTTGGCTAAGGGCTAATTAGCTGCTACACCATCAAAGATCTAATTATGATCCAAACCTAAGGCGCAAATTGTGCTTACCTGACTTGTAGGTGCTAAGGATGGGGTTGGTGGGATGGCCTCAAAAAACCAGAAAACAGCCTACTTCCTGAAGATTCTGTTAGATAATGGAGATGCAAAAACTCAGTGGTGTTGAGTTGGGTTGTCATAAAGAGAGGCTCAACATCCGGGTTCTTATTCCAACTTTGTGCAAATTCCCCATACTTACCCCAGAATAGTTCAACACCTAATAACAAGAGACCGACTCCCACAAGTCATAAATGCAATTATTTGCAATAATTGTTATAAAATATCATGAATAAAAATTAACTCTGATTAGAAAGCACATTCACACGTTTGAAAATATCAGAATCACCTAAATGAACCCCAATAAACAATAACCACCCCCCAAACAACATTAATAAAAATCTCAAAATATCATGGTGTAATATAGATTCTCCTTTAACTATTTCAACAGAGTAAGCCACATTCAGTTTTCCTATATTCCAGGACTATAAAGCTCTTTCAAAACTTGTGCGTAGGTTAGAAAAGAGTCACTTGGAGGATATACAGTACCTTTACCAATTCACCCCTGATGTTGCATCACAAATTACAGATATACTCAACTTGGAAAGGAAAGTTGTCAGTTTTGATGAGGTGGCGGCAAAATTCAAGAGCAAACAACTTTGTATGGTGTGCCTCAAACACATGGAGCAGTGGGTATGTCTTGATATTTCTGTCATGAAAGTCTATCGGGATGTTATTAATGTGATGTAAACAGTTAAATGGACATACAACTTCATCATAGATCTCCAGATCAGACGTCTGAATGTTTCAAAACTGACAAGCTGCTGTACAGATGGATAGATAGGGTGACCCAAAAAATGCAACCCTCCATTTCTCCTATATTTTTCTTAAATGGAGGTAAATTGCTCTGAGATTTGGCACTCAAGGACTTCATTCAATGCGGGATCCTCTGGCAAAGTTTTAATAATCATAGTCTTATATTGATAGAGTTATGGTTGTTTCAAAATATGCTCCAGATGCTGTAGATGGCAGGACTTATCAAATGTATGCATTTAGATTAATTCAATTCAACCCCATGGAAACAACAAGATGATCTCCTTGAGATGCATATTTAAATAAAAAATCTCTAACAATCTCATTAAAAACAAGTCTTCGGGGGATTTGAGCAAATTCTCTATTAGAATATGAATATTCCACGAATCACAATATACCAAGCATGTGACTGAATTTGGACCAGACTTTGGTTTTCAGAAATCATCTTGTTTTTATTTTGCATTGTAGGGCTGTATACAAATTTTGGACTTCATTCCACAGCAATTAATCGTATTAGATATTGGTTGGTTCATGAGAACATTAGACTTGATAAGAAGTGAATGTAACAAGAGCATCCCATTGGACAAAGTCCTAGCAGTTGAGGAAGGGACCAAAGTAGTAGATATGGAAGGAGTGAAAACCATTCTGAGCAAACAGACCTCCAGTGAAGTAGAGGTATATTGTAAAATTCTTGCAATTTCTTCTAAGAACTAATCCTTTCAACACAGCTCTATCCCTCCTACATGTATACCTTTTACCACTAGATCACTCATTCCACCCATCCTATTTACTTGTACATCAGGCCACCTATTACTACTTTACCCATCAACTTAATGAAAGTGATCATGGGATCTCCCATGATTATTCTTTTACCAGATGCTTTAAATCCCAATTTACTTATTCTGTTGAAAACCCAGGCACCCAAACAGATTGTCGTTTTCACAAAGAGAAAACCCAAATTCCACTATACCAAAAAAAAATTTTTTCAATTTTTTTTCACTATTAAAAAGAGTTTTCCTTGGTACACAGAGAATGGGGATGGGATTGATCTTCTTTTTGGTCAATTCTACTATCTGTTCCGGTGCCTGTGTTTTTAACAGTGTTGAAGTTAATGTTAAACACATGAGACATTAAGAATTGGTTTACTGCTTTTTACTCAACAGTTATTATCTGTTCTGTTTTTAAACAGATTGAGCTTCTTCTAAAGGCTGTATGGCAATTACCTGGTATGACACGTGTATCAAGTGTCCGAGAGAGTGTCATGGATGAGACACACTGTATTGTGTCATCAGAGAATCTTGCTGACAAACCTCCCTGTCCATTGGTAAGATATAAGAATTGGGGTCATTCAAAATTAGAGATTTGATAGATTTTTCCTGTGAATATTGTGGATTATTCTGACATAATGCTCAGATTTTGCCACAAAGAATATTGCTTACATTAAATCCTCTACAAGAGAATTTAGACTTAATGTATAACAAATTATTGCAATTCACTTTCAAGGTTTAAAAGATGAAAAAGAATTTTAAACTAAATGGAGTTAGTCTCATCCAAAATGGTAGACAAAATGTGATCAATATTGATAGAATAAATATTCCATAATACTATTGTTTTCCCTGGGAAATAAAATCATATTATCCCTCTTAAAATCATATATACTCGAAAAATCATATTGTCCCTGGAAAAAAAATCATATCGAAAAATCATATTGTCCCTGGAAAAAAATCATATATACGTGAAAAATCATATTGTCCCTATTTTTTCAAAAAATGTCATTTTTTCAAAAAATCAGTTTTTCCAATTTTTCATTTTTTTTCAAAAAAATTGATTTTTCCAATTTTCAAAAAAGTTAATATTTTTTCTGAAATTTTCATTTTTTCAAAAAATTGCAATTTTTCAAAGATTTTCATTTTTCAAAAATTTTCATTTTTTTCAAAAGTTTTAATTTTTTCAATTTTTTATGTTTTTCCTTGAATTCTCAAACATTAAATTATGGAATAAAAAGGTTATTTCATGCTTGATTTTCAATATGAATTTTATTCCACGGGAAATATGACATTGACCTCAGTAAATATTATATTGACACTCACTCGCTACGCTCATTCGGTCAATATCATATTACCCTGGAATAAAATTCATATTGAAAATCAAGCATGAAATAACCTATATTTATTATAATATAATTTAATCAGTTATATAATCAAATTAAAATCTGGATTCTAATTGCATCACCATTGAAGATGATAAATTTTAAATTGTATGAACTAAAAAAAAATTACTCAAGCGAAGAAGCTAAACCAGTTAGAGAATGAAGCTTTCTGAATGTGAAATACAATGTATAATCTCCAATGAGTTAGCTTCATCAATACAATACAGTGAATATCAAGTTTAAGTTAGTCTCATCATCCATTTGTGTTAGCCTCGCATTAACTGGAGACATTTTCTTCAACTTTTTCAGATTTTTAATTTTAAGATTATGAAATTGCTGTTTTTTCGACCACAAAGTGAATTTTGTTTTGGTTGTGAATTTGTAAGATTACTTTAATACTGTTAGTTGGTTTGAAATTATGAAACATTTTGAATATTATTTCAGACGATGTACTGCCCAGAAGCATCAGATGGGCTTTTGAAGAGAAATATGACACTGGCATTCCCATTTATTACCCAGAAGGCTTTGCACAGTATTGTCGCAAAATGGCTATTAAAAATAGGCAACATTGAAATGATATGGTCTGGTGGAATTGTGTTATGTCATGAAGCTGTTGAGATTGTGGTGACATCTACAGAGAGAAAACAAGGTATGATCCTTAGACTTATTTGTATTACATCTAGGTATGATTTTGCATTTCCAATGCTTGATCATCTCGCATCGGTTTTCACTGCATTCATCGTGACCTAAGGAAGCCAAGTGAACAAAGATGATGCTTGATATTAATCGAGTTAAATTTTTTTTTTTGATGTCACTTATCAACCAACTTAAGAATTAGATATTAAAATTCCCGTCATGCCGAATGTACAAGTACAGAAAAACCTGTCTTATCCAAATATTTGGGACCTACCAAAAGTGTTCCAATTAGATGTTCACATTTTAAGGTTTTTCTAATATGGTAGTCAATGGAAGATTGAAAATTGGGATAGAGAAAGTGCTCACATTTAGAGGTATTTGGATAAGAGCGGTGTTCAGATATACAAGTTTCACTGTGGGTAATTATTCAGATGGTCTCAAGTTGATCATATTACAGTGAAACCTGTATATCCAACACCTCTCAAAATGAACACTTTTTTCCTATCCCAATTATGTTATCTCTCATTGACTCAGATATTTCAGAAACCTTGAAATGCAAACACCTATTAATCCGAAAACTTTTGACAAGTCACAATCGTTACTGTACTATAATTTATTCAATACTAATGATATAAAGATGTCATCAGCAAATGCCATGTGACTTAACAGAAAGTGAAAATAAAGTGCAATTATTTAATTTTACATGTATTATCATGATTGAATCAATCTGAATATGTACATGTAGATGTTAAACTGAAAATACAGAATATCAGATGATTTGATCAGTGATATCATTTTTATCGATGAGTTGATGTCTACGAGGCAATAAAATGATATCAGTAGAAGTGATCTGATATTCTGTTTATCCCATGATTGTAATCAAAGATTAAAAATAAATTAAAAAATTCAAATTTGTTTATCAGCCGCATATGAAGCTGATAAATGATTTTCTGGAAAATATCACACTGATCTCCAGAAATATCAGCAGGTGTTATTGTACAGAAAACACAATAATCATGGGATAAATAGAGATTATCCTATATGAGGTTCAGGATATTGGGATTATCCCGAGGCCAATATAATATATCTGCCCGAGGGCCGTAGGTCCCAAGGGTAGATATATTATATTGGCCAAGGGATAATCCCAATATCCTGAACCGACTATAGGATGATCTGTTTATCCCATACCAATCACATTGTTCAATTGGCCAAAGTTCAGAAACTTTGCAACCAACCGTGGAATTATTTTAAAATATTCATGTCCAGTTTTGTATTCTTGTCCGTAGCCGGATTTTCCTGTTCAAATCATGGATTATTAACGAGGCATACTGCTCCTTTCCTTCTTTAAAGCATCAAACAGATCGCGATTGTCTGCGTTTTTCTCCATTGTCGTTTACAGTATGCGAACGTTACAAAAAAGAACCAATACGGAAACAGCGATTATGACGTAGCGGGCAGATATATCTGCCCGCTCGGAGCGGGACGTAAAGTTATATCTGCCCGCTGATGAAAATATAAGTTTTTACAAACCGGCTTTATGTACCCGTAACACATCCAAGTATGGGATAAAAAAGGTTATGTTCTGGGGGTTTTAGGATATGGGGTTTATCCAGAGGGAGATATACATATGCAATATGCATATCTCCCGAGGGATACATAACTTCTATATACTTATAGAGTTTTTTTTAACAATTTTTTCTCAACTTTTTTTCAAAAATATTTTCAATTTTTTTTCAAGCTAATTGTTTTTCAAAATTTCTTTTTCAATTTTTTTCTCGAAGTGGGATGATATGCCCGGGAGTGAGAGATATGGCTGGAGTTATGGGGATTCCAGATATGGAAACCTCCAAATCAGGATACAAGATATATCTTACCAACTTATCTCCCTAAAACTGTACTCAGGCATAGGATAAATGAAGATATTAAATTGAACATGCAGATAATAAAGTAAATGTATAGATGTAAAAGTGAACATGTAGATATAAACTCAACTTGTAGATATTAAGCTGAACATGTAGATAGAAACTTATCTTGTTCATATATACTAATCTGAACATGTTGATATTAAATTGAACATGTTGACATAAAGCGAAGATGAAGTTACAAAACTGAACATATTAGATATTATACTTAACATGTTCATATAAAGCTGAACATATAGATATAAAACTAAGCATGCTGATATTTAAGCAACAAGAAGGGATAGGGACAAAAAATGTCACAATTTTACAAAAATATTCTTTCCTTATCATATGCCATGCCTGTTTTCTAAAATGTCCATAAATTCTGACTTTTTAATGGGATAATCCTCTGTATTTTGAGGTTATCTGGCAAAGAAATTGAAAAAGGGGAAAATGATTCTCAATCAAAATTATGCCACTGTTTAAGTTAAATGAATTTGGACTTTTATTCAGTAACTTAAATATTTGGTCTGCAATATCTTAACTTTTTCAGAAAATGAAATCAGGATGGCAAGGAAACATTGGCTTTGTTTTTTGAAAGATTTCTTCTAGCATTTTATTCCCCCTATCCCTTCTAATTCCTTTAAACTAAACCTATGCAATATTACACTGAATATGGCAATATTCAATCTCATAAGTATAGGTCTCGAATAACAATGAACATTTATATATAATATTTTACTAAAAATTATGAGATATACAGAGTGTGCCAAAGAAATTTGCAACTTTTTTAAAAGGTTAGAAAAGTATCATCACAGTAAGGTACTGGCATAAAAATTTATTTACAGAAACTCAAGGAGAGGCATATTTCACCATTCAAATACTTAGTTTATACTGATTGCAATTGTTTTCATCAGATCTTTGAACATGAATGGTAAATTTTTCTTTTGTCAGAGATTTAGTTTTTCTAGAAAATGTGACTTTCTATGATTTTATGTGATCAACAATAACACATTCTTTATGTTCACTAAATCTGCTATAATCGTTGATGACTGTTTAACCAATGTCTAGTCCAGGATTATATCAGTATCTGTTATACGCTGTACTGTATATATTAATTATTCATTATCCCATTGAACGAAGTTTGGAGGGATATAGGGAACGCCTCCGTCCGTGCGTACGTACGTACGTACGTCCGTCCGTCTGTCCGGGCAATAACTCAAATACCGTTGGCCCGATTTTGTTCATATTTTTTACACATATACCTTATGGGGGTAGAAGTTCAGCTCGAAAGCTGATTTTCAAAATGGCCGCTCATTTCAAAATGGCGGCCATTTTAGTGCCGATTTTACAGTAATTTAGGTGCAATATGTAAAACTGTTATAGCAATATGTTTTAAATGTAAAAAAATTATAAAGGACATTAATAATGCTACAAATGTAGATATTAAAGAAGCACATGGCAGCCATCTTGAAAAATGGTGGCCTTTACTCGTCATTTTACGATTTTTGCTATAACTCAAAAAAAAGTGGAGTGATTTTGTTCATGTTTGGTATGTGAATACTATAAGCATCGTACACTGTCTTAAGACACTTTTGGTAGAAGGCGGCCATTTTGAAAAATGGTCGCCATTTTAACGTATTTTACTATAACTGGAAAAGTAGTGGAGCAGTTTTTTCATATTTGGTATGTGAATACTATAAGCATGGCACACTGTCTATTTCTAATGACACTTTTGGTAGAAGGTGGCCATTTTGAAAAATGGCCGCCATTTTAACGTATTTTACTATAACTCAAAAAGTAAATGGACGCTATTCTAACATGTTTTACTATAACTCGAAAAGTAGTTGAGCGATTTTGTTCATATTTGGTATGTAAATACTATAAGCATGGCACACTGTCCTATGACACTTTTGGTAGAAGGCGGCCATTTTGAAAAACATTTTGAAAAATGACCGCCATTTTTAACGTATTTTACTATTATTATCGAAAAGTGGAGCAATTTTGTTCATATTTGGTATGTGAATACTATAAGCATGGCACACTGTCTATTTCTAATGACACTTTTGGTAGAAGGTGGCCATTTTGAAAAATGGCCGCCATTTTAACGTATTTTACTATAACTCAAAAAGTAGTGGAGCGATTTTGTTCATATTTGATATGTGAATACTTTAAGAATGGCACATTTTCTAATAAAACTTTGGGGAGTAGTTGGCCATTTTGAAAAATGGCCACCATTTTTATGTGTGTTATTTTACAAGTACGTGTGCGATTTTTCAAAAATTTTAGAGGTGGCTACTGAAAAGCATATTATTTCTTCTGATGACAATTTGGCTAGTGAGCAACCATTTTGAAAATGGTGGCCTTTCTTATGTGTGTTGTTTTATGATATTTGCTATTCGTTTGTAAAAATGCCAGCCATTTCTGTTCGATGGGATTCGCTACGCTTTGGCGTTGCCGTTGTTCTGGTTAAACAAACACTATGCATCCGCCTTTCACTTTCATTATCGCACAGAGATGAGGGTAGAACTGGTCTATGGTGGGATCCAGTGATTCTTGTGGTAGTTCTCTCCACTTCTCCTGCAGAACTTCTATTTAGTTGATAAATATTTTGTGGGTGATTATCATTAACTGCAATAAGCTGCTCCAGGTGTCCCCATGTGTGATAGTCACAGAAGTTGACATCTGATGTATTGGTTGGGCATTCTTCAGGAGTAATGTTTTCAAAAGGGACATCTGTCAAGAATGAGGGCTCTTTCAGCCCAATGTGATTACAAATTCCAGCAGGATAGTATCCACACCATCAGGAAAAAGTCACTTTGGAATGTCTGGAGGAGAATACCCCTCGATTCATTAGTCCTGATGAATGGCAGCCCAATACACCAGTTATCAAAGATTGTAGCAGATTTAGTGAGCATAATAAATGTGTTATTGTTGATCACATAAAATCCTAAAAATTCACATTTTCTATTAAAATCTACAACCCATGAACAATTTACCATTGATATTCAAAGATCTTACAAAATTTGAAGTCAGTAGAAGCTTAAGTATTTGAACGTTAAAATATGCCTCTCCTTAAGTTTCTGTAAATTTTGTTTATGTCAATATCATAATGTTATGATACTTTTCTAGCCTTTTAAAAAGTTTTTGGCACACCCTGTATATAACATACTGTACATCACATTTTACTATACTGCTAGATACCATTAGATATTGTCTTGGTATTCCTTATTAAATATACTGTACACATATAGGCAAAGTGATATCATATTTAGAAATCCATATACCCTTATCTCAAAGGATAGGTATCGATATGGCGAACTGAATTCAACAATGTTTTTCTCTTAAACCATCATTGAAAACATTCTGTAAAAAAACACGGTCCTTTGTGCAATTGTTTTTTGTTCCAATCTACCAACTCTTGAGAATGAAATAAAATGTCTTTCCGAACTTTGTTGGAATAAAATAGCATATACATTTTCTTAGACCTCTCAGTATTATAGTTATACAAAGGAAAATTTGGTTGATTTAACAAAAAGTATGCAAAAACTTAAAACAAAAACCCCCCAAATAGATAAAGATTAAGATAAACCTTTTATTTCATTAACAAGATACTTTTTTAAAATCAACCAAACTTTCCTTTGTACAAGTACAATATTGAGAGACCTAAACACGTTGTGTTTATGTCGATTTGTTCCAATTAGGTTTGGATAGATGTTTCATTTCATTCAGAACATATGATACCAAGAACAAAAGTGAATTTCTATTTTATTGAACAAATAATAATTTTGTTTTTGATGATATAACTATCATACTTGAAATAGTTAAGAGGAGCTATTCTAAATTGCTCTGCTGTGTTATCTAATACTCATATTATCCATTTGATGGTGTTGAACTGGCAACAAACTACATGTACTTATATCTAGAAAATCACTCTTTCTACCTGTCATATACGAGGGTTGTCCCAGAAGTAATGCACTATATGCCCTTACTTTCTTTAATATTCTTCAAATCAGCTGAACTTTTGTGTATATAACAATTAAAGTTTCATCTATTATATCCTGAAGTTTCAGGATCCAACATTAATATTAAGTCTTAATATGGTTGCTATAACAACATGGGGGTAGGGGTGGGCAGGGCAGGTACCAATTTTCTAATTACGAAAAGATCTGAAGTGTTATTTTATTAATATTTCTTTCCTTTAAATGGTCAAAATGTTTTGGAAATTGTTAAATTTATTCAGCATGATGTTAACCAAGTACAAATAATGACATTTAGCACTGTGATGTCATAATACCACATTTCAATAGTCACGAATTCAAATACAGTCACAGTCAAGAAATTGCAAAAATGGCTGCAATTCTCACCTGATAACAGAAGGCCTTGCGTTTGGTGGCCTTATTTCATACTTCACTTGAACTCACAGCCACGGAAAACAATGCTACCATGAAGAAAGAATATAAGGAGTATATACCAGATAATACTACAATTATAGGGTGGCAGAAGAGACTATTTTGAGAAAATGTGAAATGGGACACTGTGCAATATACATCCATTAAATCTAGGATGTGCTCAGAGTAATTTAGTACTTTAAAATGTATTTTTGAGCATACTTCTTATAGCTACACCAAATGGTATTTGTTGATTAATTATTTCATATTTTCACTTTTTTATTCATTTTGACGTGACTGTATAACCTGCCCCACCCCTACCCAAACTCACCAACTTGATTTTATTATAACACCAATATAGTTTTATCAGTCAACATGAAAATTTTTAGAGTAATCAAAATGTCTCTAAGGAACATTTACTGAAAATTTCCTGCAAAAATATCAAATATTGATAAAGTTAGAGCATATAGTGCATTACTTCTGGGACAACCCTCGTATACATACGTTGATGCACAAGTGTTCATTATATTTTTTTCTCAACTTGAAAGTCTGAATCTCATAATGATTCAACAATTTCAATTTCTTATGTTGTAGAGCGGTAATGAACAGAGCGTTTTTCAATTCTATATGTTCATGTTTATTATGGATGTAAAATTGTTTTCTTGCTGAATTAACCCAAATTTTGCTGAAGATCTAGATCATATAGATAAAACATCTCTCATGGGAGTACTGATGATATGTTCACTTAATCATATTGTTTCCAAGAGTTCCATGGTGTATTCAACATCTTCCTGTTTCCCCAGTGCTGTGTAGCAAGTGATCATTTTTAAGAGGAAGTTTTTATATCTCCAATGAATCTCCTCCTCTTCCTCACACAGAGACTTGGCCTTTTCCAGGTAGCTCAGTGCAGCTTTATATTCTTCATCTTTTATGAGATCATCTGTGTAGTATTCATATATCTGAAGTGTGTCATTGATTATATCTGAACTGGGTTCACACTGAGATTGAAGTTCCATATAGAGCTCACAGCACTCCTTGAGTTGTGTGTAGTCCTGCATTGTGTGTAGAATCTCAGCCTTCATCATCATGTGCTTCAGGAGCTCAATGGTTGGAGACACCTTTAAAGCTTCATCTATAGATCTAAGTGCTGCTGAGTAGTCTTTCAGCTTCATATGACATTCAGCTTTGTAATTTAGATACTTTGCTTTTTCACTGGGTGGAGACACATTTAAAGCTTCCTCTATGGATCTTAGTGCTGCTGGGTAGTCTTCCAATTTCATGTGAATGTCAGCTTTGTTCTTTAAATACTTTGCTGTTTCACTTGGTTGAGACACATTTAAAGCTTCCTCTATGGATCTTAGTGCTGCTGGGTAGTCTCCCAGATCCCTGTGACATTTAGCCTTGTAATTTAAAAACTTTGCTTTTTCCCTGGGTGGAGACACCTTTACAGCTTCCTCTATGGATCTTAGTGCTGCTGGGTAGTCTTCCAGCTTCATATGAACATCAGCTATTTCATTTAAATGCTCTGCTTTTTCATTGCTGGTGAGATGTTGGTTTGACTGGAGCTCATACTGGAGAGACTTCAGCCTAGAATAAGAAGATATGGTCTTAAACAAATAGACAAAATCAAATGAGTCCTCTCTGTTCATAACTACAATCTGTTGGTGCCATGATTCCTCTACAGATCTCAGCACTACATCTTCCTCATCAATGACATCATCAGCCTGGAAGCTTGTTGAGTACTTTGCCACCAGGATGCAGAACTTACATTCACAGTACATTGAACATTCTTGCATCAGTTGTTTAACATCACTAGGATTCATGCTGGTTGCATCTTTTAGTCTTGCAGGGACAGATAAGGAACAGCTAATGTACCTGAGGAAGTAATGCTGTAGTAAGTTGGTGAATGGAATAGGCATGACATTCCTAGAGGAAGCTGTTGAACCTGTCAGTAAATCATGTGTATATTCACTAGATGTAAAATGTGTGAATGTTTTAATGGCATCATGCTGCTGGTTCTTCACACAGTATGTGAATAGCCTGACACCAATAACAATATTGATCATCAGCAACAAGTGGGAACAATTTTCCTTGCCAATGAATTTTTCTAAATCATCAATGATATCCCATGGAGATGTTTTATCAATCTGAAACAGATCTTTAAGATTATTGATCAGGATTGAAGGAAATCTGTAGTAATCTTGTTTGACATTAACATTTCCAGTTTCATAAAAATTGTCTATTTTCTCTCCAAATTTGTATTTATCACAATCTTTCTCCATACATTCAATCCATGCTTTAAACATCTTGTCAGAATCTTGTTCTCTCACCCTAGATAGTTCATTTCTGAATTTCTGGAATAATTCCTCTTCCCCCATTATGTTGGTTGCTGTAGAAACAATAGTTGCTAGGTGGTAGCCATTTTTCTCATCAGCTTCTGTTGTACTTAGCTCAGCCATGTATTTTGGTGTTCCAATTAATTTAATTGGATCTTTCCTCTGAAGTGTCCCTTTCCGACCAGGTGGTGTTTTAGCTGCCCAGGGCATATTTCCATCCAACTTAAACCCACTGGGGGTAGTGTCATCATAGAAATTGTTAGATTCCTTCTGCTCGTAGAAGTTGTTTAAACTCTTAATTCCCACAGCAGGCAGAGGGGTCTCTCCCAAGTTAAGAACTTTCAGTTGAAAGTAGAAGTGAAGGTTGAGGAAATATTCATCATGCCTATCACTCTCTGTTAAGAACAGATACTCTAGATCAGAGTAGGGAGTGCTTTCACCTCTTGCAAGAGACCCCAGTCCTACCATAGTGAATTTACAGGGTGGAGGTCCACATACAGATATACATTGGCTCATTAACTCAGCACAAAAGTCTTTGATAAAGCTCGTGTTGTCCCCACATATAGATCTTATCATTTGGTTGAGGCATTCCTCATACTCTGGATTTGGTCCATTGTCTGCCTTTGGCCAGTTCATCATTAAATCTACCATGTCCTTCATCTTTACCTTAAGACTGAATCTGCAGGAATTCAATGCTTCATTGGGATTTCCCTGGACCTTTGTTTGTGACATATCTTTCTCAATACCAGCAGATGCATCCTGGGCAGTTGGTAGCTTGCCAAGTATATTCTCTAGATACATCATCTCAACTTCATCACATAGCATTGGAATCTGCTGTTGGTATTGTTCAACATTTTGAACATTTTCTTTCACAGCCTTGAAGCATGCTATAGCTCCATTATACAGTGCCACAGCATTAACATAATGTTCTCTCTGCTTGGAGTCATTAGAACATCTTCCCTTGTAAAGATCACCCAATTGAATCATTTTTACTCCTTCCTTTTCATAATCACGACTTTTCTCTTTTGTCAAATCACAAAGTTCTTTTCCAAGTTTGTCTTCATCAGACAGTTTGGTGTCAAGTATAGTTGAAGCCTCCGCCATTTTGGCTACTGCTACTTCCTGATTTGAAAAAAATAAACCCATTTATTCTCTCATGAAGTATTGATGTAGAAAACCTAAAATTCAGGTTCAAGATTTAACTACATGTAGAATATTTAATTACATTTAGTTTCTTACCCAGTTTGTTGTTTCTAAGCTGATGTTACTGCATTTTCGCTGCTCGAATTATATGATCTCATCTTGAAATTGCATTTTTAGATCGTTATTTTATTAGGTCATCTGATAAAGGGACAGTTCATTTGATTTTGAAAAATACTATAACATATTTGCATAGATGATATTTGAATTAGCAGACAAACAAGCACTAATATGTTTGGGAGTTATTAACAAAAACAATTAGTTTTTTCAACAATACATTTAATAACAAAACCAGATTACTAATTTTGATTCAAATACTCGTATATAATTATCATTGTATTGTATATAAATGTATATGTCATGCTAAAGTCAATGAAAATGTAGGGCTGGCAATTTTTAACAGAAAACATTTAGAAGTTAATACATCGAAATAAGCATAGAAACAAAAAGAAATTTAAGTCTCAGAAATATAAAATTTAAGAAGGGATAACAATTACTACTTACCAAATTAATATGTATTAGGTGTATATGGCACATCCATAGAGATAAGATTTAGCTTTGGTAAAAGACATACGATTGGCTCAAGTTGACGAGTTGCAAGGTTCAAGTACAATAAAATGTTTTTTGAATAAAGCGTTGGTGATTGTCATGACATCTTTCTACATATAAAGTTGAAAATATTGTACAATATGTATTGTAAATTTAATATAAGTGAATAAAATAAAATAATTATCAAATATTAAAAGCCAATAAGATAGATGGAATATTGCTCTTCAAATGGCAAAATAATAAGTATAAGAATATGTTTTCTAATAGATAACTGTACTTAATTCTCATACCGTTGAAGTAATGTAATTTGTCAGCCTTAAGAGAAGTTCCCCTACTCAAGAAAGAAATCGAGAAACATGAATTAAGTAAGGCATAGAGGATCATTGTTTTTACCATTTTCTATGAAACAGAATGAATGACCAATTAAAAAACTATTGGATGTCATCTTTATCAATTTGTGGAATGTTGTTACCTAAATGACTGCTAGATGAACAATGTTTTCCTCTTGAGGCTTTTTACATCCAGAATGTCAAATTCTACTGTAGTAAAACTCACAAATCATTTGTTTTTCCCTTTCACAGGAATACTCAGTTCTTTGCAAATATTAGGCCAATGAGGCAAAACATTTAAAAGTGATACATGTTTAAAACAATAATTATGTGACATTTTCAAGGTGGAGCTGAGCTGAAGGTGTTGTTCCAAATCATGGACATCTCTCCTTCAATGTCCATACAATCAAGTCAGCATTTACATAAGGTCATGTCTTTGGTAAGGAATCTACTGGAGTTCAGATTTCTGAGCGAAAAGATTGTCTACATTGACACTAACGCAGAAGGCTCTGGAGAAGGTAGGAATTTTGATCTACTGGTGATATACTGCAATATTTTAAAATAAGTCACCTGTAATTAATTCAACATTTCATATGGATTTACAGTTGGACCAAAAAGGACAACATCAAAATAAGGCTAATGCACATATAGTTGATGTTTTTATTTATCAATTTCTTAGAAATTAAATTGTCTCCTTTTATAAGCTTCTTAATCATATATATGTACAACAGATTGAATGAGATGATTTTTCAAAATATGCATATTTCTGAACTCAACCTGTACTTTTACTCATAATATGACTCCACTTTAAGAATTAGACTTACATAAATTTTAACGAGTTCATCTGCATGTGTTCTATTTGAACCTTAGTTCTAGACACTGCACCTTTGAAAGTCATCTCCATTGGCCACAAACATAGCTTCACACAAGAAAATGAACATTCTCCAACCATTTGTCTATCATGTCACAACTGTGCGGAGAATGGAGCAGGATGTAGATACCAAGGCATTATGGGAATGGATCCATATCGTTGTGAATGTGGAACAGATGTAACTACATGCAGTGAATGTGGAATGTGCTTGGCATGTGTACAGCTGTTATGGGTAGGTCATATTCTATTTAATCAGCATTTTATAACAAAGATATTTGTTTGTTATCGCACTAACATGTTACCCATTCATTGGTATGAGATTGGCATTGTGACATTGGCATTATTGTGGTGACTTGTGGTGGTGACATATTGTTATAGTCTCCATATATGTCGTGACAGTGTTTTGCAACTGGCAGTTGGTGTTCGGCATCTGAAACAAATGGCAGGTAGTGACATTTTGCTTGTTCATACCTTGCACTTTATATTTCCATCTTAATGCCTACTGTTCAGTACCAATTAAAAGAGCCTCCTTTTGAAAAATCAGTATTTCTTACACTCCATCTTCAAAATTTCCCTCATACTGAACACTCGTCCTATTTGGTCTATTCACGCATCACATTGTGGATGATATCTGATGTTACAAAAAGAAAAACATAACAACAGAGAATAATGAAACAAATATTCCATTCTATTTATAATTGTTTGTGATATAACATCTGTTGTTGACCTTATTGAATTGAACTTTGTCATATAAAATATCAATCATTTCAGGGCATTCAAACATGGATGTCACCTAGCAACGCTCCCAAGACAATTGACAACAATGTTCCCATAGAGATAGGAACCTCAGATGAAGTCAATGTCACAATTACTGGAATATCCCCTGTTGCTGTTGCTCTGCTGAACAAGTAAGATTTACTCAAAGTTATTTTTATAGCATAATTCCTATATATCAATGTACACTCCCCTCCATAAAAAATTGAGAAAATTTGGAGGTATTGGAAAGTCAAGTTACGTTTCCATCAATATTATAAGTTATTTCATCGCCGGTTAAGTAAATAAAAATTCAAACGTAAAGAGGCTTTAACACATAGTTCAATGGGGAAAAAAGGTTGCCAAACTTATGGAGGGGAGTGTACTCATATTTTACTCATATTCATCAGCATTTACAAAAGAATTATAAATGGAAGCCCATTAAAATCTGTAGTGCCAAGTTGTGTTTGAAATTCTGTTCATAAAAAGATGGCAGCACAATCAGTATGTTTACCAGCAAGTCTGCCATCTTTATATCAGCTTTAAACCAGGATCCTTCTTTGCAAATAGTCAGGAGTTTGCCAAGAGACAAAATCATGGAGCACATTGAAACCTGTAGAGTGGAACATCTCTAGTAGTGGAACACTTCTGTTAGTAGAACACTTTTCAGAGTCCCAATGTTAAATGAACCTCTATAAGTGGAACACCTCCCAAGTGAAATGCTAATTAGAGGTACCAAAGGTGTTCCACTTGGACAGGTTTTACTGTATATCCACACCTATTGTCGGGGGGGGGGGGGGGGTCCAGGGGGTATAAGTGACCCCTCTGGCCAGAAATCCTTTCAAAAGCATGCGCCTTTATTATTATTTATTAATATCTTTTATTTATTTACAGAACATCAGATGTGAGGTTACATCTACTACCAGGTCCTCCATGTATGTTCCCTAGTCATAGGTGGAGGGATGCCAGAATGCCTTTAATGGCATATTCTCCCTCAAGGCTTAGTCTGACACAGGGAGATGTATGCACAGTCAGACTTCTCTCAAAGCCAACAATCTCAGTAAGTTATCTCAATGTGACTGTTTCTTGAAGGGTCTTCTAAATTCCTACCATGTTCTTTGAACATTGAAATGTGAACATCTAGCTGAAGCTCATCTGGAAGGTCCCAGTTAGTGACATTTGAATAAGACAGTTTTCACTGAATGTAATCTTGAATTATAAAACTGAGATATTTTTAAAGAGAGTGACCTAAAAGGGATTCATTACAACATAATCAAGGGATCAAGTGATCCTGAATATTCAGCATGAATCTATCAAATGCCTTAATTGTTGAGTTAAACCATAAATGATAAACAGAATCTGAAGTTCCTTAAGTGCAGCTTATACATTGTCTTATGAATTTTCACATTTTATTTTACAGGGGAAGAAATATGACTGGCAGAGTAAAGTTAAAGAGTCTGCGTTCACAGTGTTCAATGACTTACTATACTGGGCACCAAGTCAGTTAATAACAAGGTATGTATCCTTTAAAGTTATGAATGCAAATCATGATTAGGATCAAACTCTGTGTTACCATTTCCCATGTCCACTTTAACACTGCTGGGTAATAAATAGATACGCTGATTACAGAAATGGATTGTTTCGGTAACAAAATGTCAGAACCTCGAAGGAACAATTTTTCTTTTTTCCTTATTTTCCGCGTTGTTGGCAAAATTCCCACTACATTTTTATCACAAACGTATGTTAGTTTCAAATGTCTAAGAAAATATACATAAACAAATAGTTCAGAAGACAACAGAATTGTCGATTTAATACATGTACCTCACTTTTATTATGTAAACGGAACTTCAAAAACGGCCAATATCTGCACTTCTAGCCCATTCCATTTACATAACATTCAAACAGAATTACTGCATTGGCTCTTTTTATGAATATTCCTTTTACTACCCTTAGCCTACATATGTATGTTTAAATGCTCAATCATACTTGATATGGCTGGTTTATGTGTAGGAGCCACAGAGATAATGAATGTTATAAATTACACCAAATGAATGTGTTTCAGGAAAGGGGGGTCAACTGTTCTAGATATGGCTGGTTTATGTGTAGGCGCCACAGAGATAACCTCTGAAAGAAACTCTTTCACATTAGGTAGGTACATATGTAACTCAACACTTGGTCATCTTGATTTGTTCCAAGCTTTATATACGAGTATAAGAAAGTTAATATTAATGTTAAAAGGGAACCATGCCTAACTCTGATCCCACATCATTTTTAGAATCTTAACAGCCTACAATGAAACTCAAGCAAGGATGAAATTTCTTGCCTATCATAAGTACATGTACCATGATTAGTGCAAATAATAAGAGGCGAATGCACCCCTTATCATTAATTATCACTTATCATATATGGTATATCAATAATTTCCAAATTGTTAAGGGATTTCTGTACTTTTTAAGATAATATAATTTGTTTCTTAAGATCATAATTTTGGTGACTTTGGATCAAAGCAAGGCCCTTTAAACTCATAATTTAATATTTTTGCAGAATTTCTTAATGTGAATTTGGATCACATGGGATATATTGGTGTGTGTACACAACCAGGCGCTGGTTCAACCTCACGTGATGACTACTCTACAATGTTCTGTATTGGATCAACAAAGACATGGTAAGTTATCGTGGTGAAAAAATTTTAACCTCAGATTACAAATAGAGTTTTTAAGTCTCCCCTGGAGAGGTTGATAATTGTATAAGTAGAACAGAAAGTAACGTAAAAGGCTTATTCAATCCAATAGATTATTTCAACTCTCATATTCATCAAATTTTAACAACGTTTCCTTCTGATTCATTATAATGACATCATGCTGTGACACATCCAAAGTCCATTGACTGACAATACATTTCAATAATTGTTTCTTGCAATTGCTTTAACATGCTTATTCTTTGAAATAAAAAAAAGAATTATATAAAAAAAGATGGTAAACTGTTCACCATATTGAGTAACACTTGACCAATCAGAACCAAGTATTGCAATGAAGGGATTGATAGTGAATTATATTTGTTGCAGGGCCAATACATCAACTCTTTACTCCATTAATCGTCATGTCGTGCCTATAAGTGAAATACAAGATGGCTGCCTCACTTGTAAAGTGGAATTTACGAGCAATAAGGAGAGACTGGTTACTCTCATTTCAAGGGATGGCAAGGTAAGGGTCGGTTTCCCTCATTCAAAAGATAACAAGGTACTGTAAGAGACATCAAAAGATAACAAGATAAGCAAGAGGCTGGTTCTTCTCACTCAAAAGATAATAATGTAAGAGACATCAAAAGATAACAAGGTAAAGGAGAGACTGGTTTCTCTCATTCAAAAGATAACAAGGTAATAAAGGAAGAAATGGTTTCTCTCAGTTGAAAAGGGCCTCAAAAGATAACAAGGTATGGAAGAAGATGGATTCTTCCATTCAAAAGATAACAACCAGGTAAGGGAGGGGCAGGCTTCTGGGGTAATGAGTGAGTGAGAAATTCAGTAAAATTTGTTTGAATTTAAGACATTCACAGCGACAAAATGAAGAACCCTTCTACCCAGCATTCATTGTGGCACTCAACCAATTAGCTGTCCTATTTTTATCAGGTGTATGTTTAATTTCTTTCTCTGTTGTATTGCTCCAGTTACTGAAATACAATGATCAGTTATTTATTTACTTTAGGAGTTAAAGACATTCACAGTGACAAATGAAGAACCCCTTTACCCAGCATTCATAGTGCCACTTGACCAATCAGCTGTTCTATTGGATAGTGATGTATGGGTGAGAGAAAAGAACAGCTTACCTGTATTTAAACCCAGTAACCCAGAAGACCATGATAATGAGGACAAACTTGTGAAACCAGGCTTTGAACTAAGGTACATACTCATATGTTTAAATAAATGGCAACAAAGAATATTCAACAGAATTTAATATTTACAATATGTGAGGTTTGTTTTAAGGTAAATGTAGTAATTAGTTTAAATTGATTATAACACACATTTCAACCCATAATTGTTGTAAATTGCTGAATTAATCTTGTCAGTAAAAATTTCTGTCACACATTTCCTGGTTTCTCCAGTTATTCAAGCGTTTTAAAAATGCAGGGTGGCCCATTAATAAAAGTAGGTTTTAGGTTTAAAGAAAGATATTATTATTAAATAATTGTAAACCTACTTTTTGGCCACCCAGTATAAATCTATTTTAAGTGTGTGAGGCGGTCACATCTTATTATACATCTATTCTGTAAAAAGCATACAAAACTTTTATTTTTTATTTTTTTATTTATTTATTCTCACATGTTATTGTTTTCTATTGTTCCCTTTAGTCCAAAGTCTGTGCTATTGTTTGATGACATCACAAGTAATGGGACTAATACAGAAGCATACATCAAGATTGTCAACACGTCACTCAATAAAGTACTAGCCTTCAAGGTAAGTATGTAACCATTGTGGTAAATGGTGATCTCGTTTAATTAATGGATTGATTTAGGGTATGTGAAAAGGACTTTGTAGCTTCAGCTAAAATTTATTTCATAGTTGTAACACTATATTTTTAAATACTTCTTTATTGGTATTCCTTACAAAGGTTAAATTGATAAATAAAATAGACATAAAGGATGGAGATAAAAAAATGGAAATTGAATTGTTCTACTTTTATAGTTTCAAACCACAATGCCCAAGATCAACCTTATTAGGCCAAATGCTGGGTATCTCGCTGTTGGAGAGATCAAGATGATTGCAATAAAAACAAGAACAGATTCCAAAGAAGAGTTGAATGATATGAGTAAGTCTATGAACATGCAATCACTTAAAGGCCCCATGCAAAGTTTGAAAAATATTATTACACATATGCAAATACTGAACTATGGCGAAACTTCAGACACTGGTCTGGCAGGATAAAGTTTAGTGATAAGGGAGCTATAGTAAAGTTGTTCCGATCAGAATTTAATATTACTGCTACAGTCACTAAAGATTCTCTTAAAATATTGAATGTACTTACTTGGGCAATCATTCAGCTCTGTAATTATTAATTTCTGCTTATTCAGTATTTATGTACAACTTTCCCATGAACAGTATTTTGTGAAATATTTTGTCTATTTACTTTGTTTTTATTTTAGTTACTCAGATTAAAGTCCGAGTCATGCTTCAGTTTGTTGACTCCAAGGACAGTGTGGCAGATTGGAGTAACACACGAGAAATAGACAAAAACACGTAAGTGCTGGGAACCATCAAAAGATGGATATTTTTGCATTCCCCAAAAAGATGGATATTTTCGCATTCCCCAAATGCAGGGTTTCAGATATGATAAACAAGGAACAAAGTTGGTGATGTCTAGAGTCCTGTATTTGGAGATTGATATTCTAGATACCCTATGTATCCTGATCAAGATATGGGGAATGAATGGGGGATTTTGTTACAAGGGGAGATGAGGTATGGCAAGGAAGTGTAGTTGGGACATTTTTTAAATCACCACAACCACGTGACATATTGTCAAACTTTTTTTTTCGAATTTGTTTGGCATTTGGTGGTTGGTTTTAGGCATTTGGCAACTGTAACAATGGCAGGTGGTGACATTTGCATGTTAAAAAGTGTATGAGTTTAGTTTCTCATTTCTCTCTTTATGTTTTATTAATCAGCTGGAAGTGCCGCTTGGATAAAAGGAACAAAGATGTTGTTTTCCCAGAAGTTAAGCTACTGAAGAAAGGTTCAAAGACTATGAAGAAACAGGTGGGTACTGAACATGGGTTTTCTCTTGAAAGCCCATGATACTGACTAAATAGTAAATATGCATTGTGTTCAACACAGGGAGTAAGTTACGCCTCCCTCTTTATGTTCCATATACAATGTTCAATAAGTCAAAACATTCTAAAACATTACTTTTCATTTTCGTAAGTGTTCATTTCAAGATCTTTCTTGGAAAATACTACTTCTTTACCATGATTGTATCTTAAATTCATAGGGATATAGAGAAACTATATTGTCACCATGCTGATGGCCATTGGGCAGATAGTACAAGAAATCTTACCATTATGCTATTAAGAAAAAATGTTCATTCATTTAACTTAAACAGATGCAAAAGCATAGAGTGCCAAGATGTGGTTAGATTTGAGGCATTTAAGGTTCTTTATCAATCAATATACAGTTTATTGTTTATTTTAGGGTTTCTGCTGTGTTGAAGTGTTGAAAAACCAAGAGAGTGTGGGACAATACCTTATACCAGAAGCTGAGTATGTAGTTGCTGTCTCCTCTGAAGACAAGGAATCAAACACAGTTGTGTCATCCCCAAAACAAGTGGTAATGACATTGTATTAATCAGGCACAGAGCCAAGGGGGGCAAAAATTCTTTCAAAATCATGCAGTTTTCCATCATTATGAGCACTTTTTAAGTGATTTTGCCATTTTTGGAAAAGTGAATCCCCCATGGCAAAAACTGGCTACGGGCCTGTTAATGACAGTAAAATCTGTATATAATGAACACTTATCGAGCCACAAAAGTGTTCCCTGTAGGTAGGTGTTCACTACAGAGAGGGGATTTTATACAGAGGCAATAGTGTGTCTTGCTTCGCAAGAATGTTTATTAAACACAGGTGTTCACTAGAGAGAGCTGTTTACTAAGACATGTTTTACTGTATTACTTAAAATAGAAAAGTATTGTGTCTTGAGAAAGATGAAAAAATACTTTCAATCAATGCACCATGTATGATAAAAATAAACTTCAGAAATTGCTACTTAAAGAGAGGAAATAAATAACAATAGATTAAAGAAATAAAAGATAATATGTTGCAAGAAATATTTTAAGCTGAAAAATTAGCCATTTTATTTTAGAAAGACTATCCAGAGATATTATGAAGTGGCTGTCTGGGGTACTAATGTAAGGTTTTCAAATACATAATAAAAATGCATATCTTTTAGGGAGATCCCTCTGAGGATAGTCTGGGTACAGTGGAGAGGAAAGAGTTAACCTGTAAACCAAGTAAGTTCACTTAATGCCATTTCAAGTACAACTACAAGCACATTCCACAAGTTTTGGTACGAGTAGTGGGCCACTCTGCAAAGCAAACAAAAATTACTCGCCCAAATTATACATTCATATTTATGTTTTTAAAATGATATGAACAGAATAAAATATGAAAAAGTAATGTTTATTTATGTTAAGATGATAATCCTAAAATTCAGGAATGCACAAATTGACCTTAATTGATTGATTGATATTAATTACCAGTGAAATCTCAACATTTTAACTTAATAATGTAGAATATGATATTTTTTCAAAATGTGGTCATATATTTTAGTACACCCTGTATATTAGATACAACATATCGTTATGTCACATGCGCATATGTTTTGTAGATATGACTAAGATGCATAGAGACTCTCTAGAAGGGAACTTAAATCTGAACATTATGGGACCAACTCTTGCTGAAACAGAGGCACTACTTTATACAATCTTGCCCAGGGATCTTGATGACTCATTTCTTCAATATCCTTCCACTGCAAAAATAGTCCAGTCAGAAAAGGCTGTACATGTTTTATGCTCATCAGGTATTCAAAGAATACTGATCTCACCAAATTCAAATGTGTCATTAGAATTAGAATATACTTAAGATTATTTGAATATATATATTTTGTATATTTTTTTTTGCAATTATTATCCACTTTATTTTGTGTTTGGACTTCAAACAGATGTCGTTTGTTTAACCATTAAAACTTTTTAGAACTCCTCTCAAATAATTGCAAGTCTAAGAAACCCTAAAATAATCCTATTTAAGGGTAGGCCAAAGCTTAATTTCCAAAGTTGGTAAATTTAGATATTTTATCTACAGTCTTTCAGGTGTTTTAAACAAATAGAGAAACCCTCTTAACATACGTCCCTTCATGTAGTTTGGTATATGATTACAGTATCTGGGAACAGACATGAGGAGACATCTGATGAGCCTGTTCACTTCATTGATGTTAAGGGATTATTGCCTGATACACCACCTGACACTATCTCCAGTGGGTTGGTGCATGCATATATCTATGCTGTTATAGCTTCTAAGAAGGTAAGAAGTTTAATTTGTGAGGTTAAGGGTCCACCCAGCCTCATCTTTAAAGGGCAGCATGGATTCTTTATATCAATACTAGCAGAGGGAAACTGATATGGCAGTGCTGACTGAACTTATATTTAAGATTCTTCCCTTTCCATTAAATACTGTTGGAGAGTGAATAGTGTTGTTTTGTATATATTTTGATATACTGCAATACATGTACAGAGTAGTTAAAATGTATCCTTGTTTGTAAATAATTGATAAACATGTACAATGTACTGTTCCTTCATAGACATATGACATACCCTCTCCTTGTGACACCACCTCCTTATGACACCCCCTCTCCTAGTGACACCACCTCTCCTTGTGACCCCATCTCTCCTTGTGACACCACCTTTCTTTGTTTCACCAAGTCTCCTTGTGCCATCACCTCTCCTAATGACATCCACGCTCCTTGTGACTCTCTCCCCTTTGACACCACCTCTTGTGACACCTCCTGTCATTGTGTCACCCCCTCTCCTTGTGACACCATCTCTCCTTGTAACACCACATCTCCTAATGACATCCCCTCTCCTTGTGACAGACTCTCTCCCCTTTGACACCACCTCTTCTTGTGACACCTCCTGTCATTGTGTCACCCCCTCTCCTTGTGACACCATCTCTCTTTGTGACACCACCTCTCTTTGTGTCACCCCTTGTCCTTATGACACTACCCTCTCCCCTGTGATACCACCTCTCCTTGTGACACCCCCTCTCTTTTTGACACTCCTATTATTGTACCCCTCTCCCTTTGTGACACACCATACTCTATGATACCCCCTCTCCCCCGTGGCTTCTTCTCCCCGGTGACACTCCCATTATAGAGTTTATGGTGCCCCTCTCCCTTCATGACACACCATACTCTGTGATACCCCCTCTCCCCTGTGGCATCCTCTCCTATTGTGGCACCTCCAATCTCTATGACAACCCTTCTCCTCGTCACCTTGTGATAAAATGCCCATATGTTCCTAATTTCTCAATACAAACCTAGCCTTCGTTCAGTGCAATCTGTGCCTCCTGTGCCTGTACGAGAGGTAGTGAAGGTATGCAACGAACTAAATGACTTTTGAGAATGTTCCCAATATACAGTATGTGATAAAATGCCCATATGTGCCTAATTACTTAACCAATATACATGTACATGTACTTCTATTTTACAGATAATCCTCCCATCTATAGAGAACTTATTACCATTGTGCAAGAAACTCCCAAGACATGTTGTAAGTATGCACTAAATATACAAATACGAAAGTTGTATGCACAATAATGAATTGCCTCTTCCCAAGTCATTTATATTCTAATAATGTATTGATTAAATAAATAATTCAATTCTTAGTTTCCTTTTAAAAGGAGTACAGTGTAAACATATTTTCATAAATCAATCTAAAATTCAGCAGAATATATAAAAACAGGCAATGCTATCTTTTAGGAATTAGAAAGATAAGATAAAAGCTGAGAGTAAGTTATTTTGTTCTCATCATTATATGTCACACACATTTCTTAAAAAAATGAAAACCTTCGTTTGTAGATCCAACATCAAATGGCAAAGATTATTGATACACTCCACTGGCTTCATGTGTTAGAATTGGACCAGAAAACACTTGACCGCAATGACCTCTTTTCACAGGATATGGAACCATATATCGCATATTATAAACAGCATCTACAAAGCCACGTGAAAAATTCTAGCATCAAATCCATCTTGTGTGAAGATTCTGACTCTACGAATTTTGGGATGTGTCAAACGCACGTTCAATATGCATATCACAATGGCTGGACCATGGATGATATTGATGACAGCACAAAGATGGATTTTGAGACAAATCTGACATATTCGGGCTTGATTGAACATCTTAATTGTGTGGCTGGTTTCATGCCAAAACTCCCTATGAATCTATTCAGTTTATTTTGCAATATTTCTTCGATGAATCTGCACGATTCCGGGAATTTGACTGAACTTCCTGATGACATCACCAACTGTCAAAATCTCTGTGAGTTCAACATTGAAAATAGCGCCATTAAAGTTTTGCCTGAAGGTTTAACAAAATGCCGAAAAATCACGAGGATAAACTGCATGAATTGCGACATCACAGAGCTGCCTGATTGGACAAACGATAACAAAGTGAAGGAGATGAATCTGAACCACTCCCTGCTAACGTGCATCCCAAAGACAATCCAGAACCTTACAAGCCTGGTGAAGTTGACATTGAATGGGACAGCAGTAATGCGTCTCCCAACAGAGTTCAGTATGTTACAGAGTTTAGAACACTTAGAGATATCAGGTAAAGAAAAATGTTATGGGATTTAAAAGATAAAATTGAAAACACCATTGGATATTTCATTCATACTGAAATGTTACTCAAAAATGTTTTCAATATTTGTGACTTTTCAGATTCGAGTAAGTTGTAAGATTTAATGAGAACAGACAAAATACTGTAATTAGGTGATTCCTATATACTGATGAATTCATGAAATACTACATAAAGATAGCATCTGATATATGTTGACAATTGGGATGGGGCCCTTGAACACTCTGAAATTTTAAATCAAATCATATTTCTCTATTTCAAGGCAATTGGTATTTGTGAGTTTAATATGTAAAAATTCCTCGTTTATTTTTGGTTTTTATTAATATATTATTGCTTATTATTGTTTTTAGGTATTGCTTGGAAGTCATACCACACCACATATGAAAATACACTTAGTAGAGATGGATATATGGAATTCTGTAGGGCACATCGTATCAATCACTATCTCTCTGACCAGGTAGCTAATTTACTATATGAGCCTGGCCATAGGAAAACCGGTCTTATCACAAAAATTGAAATTGTGCTACACAGCCAAAAATGTGCCCAAGATTTGGAGGAAAATGTGCTAAATTCAAATCCGACTTATTGGTTTATATATGCAAGGAAAAATTTTTAAGACACAAGGCATGGCTCATTTGAAAGGTCTCTTTGTGCTTTTTTTAAGATAAACAAAAAATCAGAATATTGAAAAAATCTGTGATAAGACCCCTTTTCCTGTGGCATGGCTCATATATGACATCATATTTATTATATTATTTTGATTTTGTCATCAGATTTATTTTGCCGCTGGTGCTGCTACATTAGTTGAAAATTATTCATTTTATCTTCGAACAAATGAGTTGTTCTCTTGTCTGCATGTACATGTAAGTTGTATATGCCATTGTTGTACATGGAGATGAGTGGACAAGCACAAAGTACAAATATCACAAATAGCACAATGTGTCTTTTTAGTTTTTGGAGATTCTTGATCTGTTCCTGTGTTTCAGGAGCTTCTTGATTTGTTCCAAGAATGTGACATCAACCACAATGGTGAACTGGACACCAAGGAACTGGCTGGCCTCAATGCGAGAATATTCTATGCCTCGCCACGTGTGGGTTTGGACTATAAAGGTAATAATGTTTATTTGTATAAAAATCCCCCTTGTGTGAAAGTATATCCCCTTGTGTGAAAATATACCCCGCTGTGTGGAAATATCTTATATTATGTAAAAATACCCCTCATCATGTGACAATATCCAATGGGATATTTTAATATGTAACTAACCGTACATTATAAAATATAAACACCAATGAGTGTAAAGATTAAGAAAACAGAAAGAAAAGGAACATTCAAGGGTTGTTCAATTAATACTGATACAAGTGATCTCATTTCCTGGCTTGTGAGGGAATAAAGATGAAATTGTCAAAGACTTACATATTGGTTTCATTCTTTGATATTGTCTTACAAAAAAGTTCCTTGCAAATAAAAAATAAGACCATTTGTTTCAGTATTTATTAAATGACCCTCGTATTGTAACTCATTGCTCATTACTCATTGGGATCTAAAAAATATTCAACAAATACTGTTTACCTGTAATATAGACACACATGTAAAGACAAAGAGAATGAATCATGATTGTTTTCTTTTCAGACGGTGATAAGTACGGGGGCATTCCAGCTTGTATCTTCACCCTAAGATCTCTGAAACTTTTAAAGTTAGAATACCAGGCTATAAGGTTCATCCCTAAGGAAATAGAGTACTTGACAAAGTTAGAGCACCTCTGGCTGAACAGTAATCCACTATTAGAGTCCCTACCTGGGGAGATGGGGATACTCCGAAAAATCAAACGTAAGTTCACTGGGTGAATTATAACTTGGGGTTAATTGTGATTTGTGATAAAGGGATCCTCAATAAAATCAAATGTTATTACAAGTACAATTAGAATTTAAAGCTTGTATTCTCATTAAACTGAATCCAGGAGAGGTGTTTGTTCAGAAAGTGAGCCTTATTCAAATTACTCTTTATTAAAGGGTGGAATTCATTGTATGTTGATATTTATGTTAGGTATTGGTATAAACTACTGCCCATCATTGCGTACACCTCCCAATGAGATTGTAAGCCAGGGAGATGAAGCGGTTATAGCGTACTTGAAGAGATTGGCAGGTGGATTCTCTGAATGTCACAGGACCAAACTTATGTTAGTTGGACTTGGAGGTGCAGGGAAAACAAGGTAAGAGAAGACTTTTATTTGAAATATGGAGCAAAACATTTCGTGACATCATGCCTTATACAAAACAGCACTGTATTGATAATCTGATGACATATTGTCAACTTTTTTGTAGACAGTGTTTGATTTTTGTTGTTGGTGTTTGTAACAAATGAGAGGTGGTGACATTTTGGATGTTAATGACATGTCTTGTACATTGCATGCGCCGATATTTTATAATGTTAATTCCTTGTCATGGTTTTCTAGTATATTGCTTGCTCTGATATTTTGTCATATTAATTCCTTGTCATGGTTTTCTAGCATATTGCTTGCGCTGATATTTTGTCATATTAATACCTTGTCATGGTTTTCTAGCATATTGCTTGCGCTGATATTTTGTCATATTAATTCCTTGTCATGGTTTTCTAGTATATTGCGTGCTCTGATGAGTAAAACCCACAAGACGGAGGCCTTAACAAGTGAGCAGATCACAGATGGAATAGACATACAGACCTGGACAGTGAAGGGACATAGCAAAGAAGCAATAACATTCAACACTTGGGACTTTGCTGGGCAGACAGTTTATTACAACACACATCAAGTGAGTCTCGATTTAGAAGTAACATTTATGATCATAAAGATTGAATTGATTGATTGCGCCAACTACCATTGGACTATGTAACATTTATGATGAAACATATTGAATTTACATAATGTTACAAGTACAGAATTTTAAAACTTTTTATTGTAATTCTTACATTATCTCTCTAGAGCTGGTAACAGCTTTGTGTCAATTGTGACATGTCAAGGCTGTCTGTACTCGTGGACTATGTTATCATTTGGATGAGGATTTCCCATATAACAATTTTGAGGTACAAGTATATTGATCGATGACAAATTTGCCTTGGGCTGACACTGACTCTGACACATTGCATCATACCAAACATAAAATATCAAATATGAAAATAACTGTATGTAAGACCAGTTCACATGCATGATGTTTTTATTTCAGTTTTTCTTATCCAATCGTGCTGTGTACTTGTTGCTATGGACAACCAGACTTGGTTACGAGCATGCAGGTTTAGACTTCTGGCTGAGTTCTATTGCATGTCACGCTCCCAATGCCCCAATATTTGTAGTAGGAACCCATTGTGATCAGGTAAGATGATAAATATATCACTGTTGGTATGTTTGGTACCTGGTTGCCATTGACAACCAGACTTGGTTAGGAGCATGCAGGTGTAGTCTGTTGCATTAAGCGTTCTACCTAGAAATCTTTTACTTTATATTGCTTAGTACTACATTCATGATTTCTCTAATTCATCTATCATTTTATGTGGCATATTGAATTATTGTTGGAGCATTTTGGTGGAAATTTTTTATGAGAGAATACAATATATCATATAAAAATATCAATATGAGATTGAACTGCTTTGCCTTTTAGTCTTGAATCCAGCCGCTGCCTTGCCCCCCCTCTTTTAAGACAAGATTAAAGATAATATGTGGCATTTAATCTATGAGATATGTTGAAACTGTGCTTCTATTGTAGGTGTCCAAGTATGAGATCCCTGTGCAGAAGTTACAGAAGAGATACCCACAGATCCTAGGCTTTCACTTTGTCAGCTCTATTGTTGGCACAGTAAGTTGAGAGTTCCCTGATTTTACCATGATAATAGGGAAAAATATGATATAATGGGATGCATATTTCATGTGATTGCTCCTAGTTTGAATATCGTTTGAAAATAATGTTTGGATCAGATTTTTTTAAACTGGATTTTTATTCTTGGTTACATATTATTTTCATCAGGCTAAAATGTTAGTCCTCTGAGATATCTAAAACATTAAAGTTACACAGAAAACCCTGTTTAATCCATGGGACTAGTCAAAAAGATTCAGATTTGCAAGTGTTTTGAACTGTACTTGATTGTAGTAGACCAACTTATAACAACAGTACATGAGGGAAAAGATACCACATATATTTTTAGGGGTGTTCATATTTGAGAGGTGTTCACATATACAGGTTTTACTGTACTTGATTGTAGGGAATAGCTGAGCTGGAAAGAGATCTGGTGCAGACCACCCTACAGCAACAGTACATGGGGGAAAAGATACCACAAGTTTACCTGAATCTAGAGGACAAGATACTCTCGTAAGTAAACAGATAAATACTGTATAACATGAAATATTGCCGTGGATATAAAGTTGCCGATTGCCGAATGTAAAACAGAAACGGCAACATAAAATTCGGAAATATAAGTAATTGAAGATCGATCTTTGTGGGCAATAATATGGTAGTTGTCAAACGTGTGTCAACTTACTGTAATAGCTAGGGTAATTTTCTAACGAGTATCAACTTACTATACTTTAATCATAAATAAAATACGATAAAATCGAAGCTTCCTCAGCATAAAATTACAATAAAAAGTCATGTCAAAAAGTTATATTTAAGAAGATCTAATTGTATCCAAGTGCTTTGGAAATCCCAGTATTAAAAGTTTTTAATCCCGATAATAAAAGTTTTTAATCCTGTTATTATTGTCCTGAGTCTACCGAATGCGGGTAATCACTCAAATTGTCACTCATAATGTCAGGTTTTCTGAGTAAGTAAAATGAACGTGATTAAAATAGAGGTGTCAGCTTAGCAATATTTTATTTGGCTTTACATCTAGGGGTGTCAGATCGGCAAACTTTTATTCGGCAATAACAATTTTAATCCAATTCGGAAAATAAAGCACCCAGATTTAATACATGTTATACAGTACTCTTATAGAAGAATAAAGATACTGTGCACATGATATCACTTGTAGTGCACATCCTCTTAATTCTCTACTTGAATTTGTACATTATAGTCATAAAAACAAAAAATTATATTTTAACTTGTACATAAACCCTAATTTATCATGACGTAATTGAACCAACTGAATTAACTATGGGGAGGGGATTAAAATTCACAAATGTGGTGCAGTGTCATATTTATCTATGTAAACCCCATTATAAGTGGATTGAAACACCCTCGGTTCTGCTCAAAAGTGTTTCAATTAGAATGTGTTTCAATTACAGAGGTTTAATTTACATTAAGTCAATGTGTCACAGGACTGTGAAAAGTGTTCCACTTACAAAGGTGTTCTTATAGAAGTGTTCCACATGACAGGTTTTCTTGTATGTATTTATATGCACGTACTATATTTGCAGAAAAAGGAAAACAGAGAGTGTTATAAGCTGGGACCAAATCAAGCAATATGCTATAGATGTGGGCATCTTTGATGACAATGATGTAAGTGGCCCAATAGAGTTTGAGATATTCAGTTTTCTACCTCATACAGTTGCTTAGCTTATTGCATATTTTTTAAGCAATGTCTGAATCCAGTTTAGTGACCACTGTTTTAGATTAAAGGTACAATTCTCTAAGAAATTGATTTTGAAGGTTAAGTATTTGATAAACTTTTGAAAAATGGTAAATGGATATCCCAGTTATCTTTTTCAATTAATATAGTAATAAAATCAAGATTGCAAGGGTAACAATACTTTTGTCAATTTTTTGGAGAGATGGTTAAAATATTCAACACTATATTTTGTCAATCCAATATTTTAAATGTGACTATATTTTATTATGGCTTTTTCCATCATCATCTTTTAAGTTCCTACCATGATCAAAGTTAAGATACTTGTCCTCTATAAATTAAAACAAAAAATTTACCAAATACTAATATTAAATGTGTTTCAATAATCAATTTATTCCAGATCAAACAGGCTGTACAGTTCTTGAATGATCTTGGAACTTTACAGTATTTTGACAATGAGTTTCTTAAAGACCACATAGTAATTAATCCACAATGGATTGTTGATGTCATGGCTAGTGTAGTCTCAGTTAAAGATTCTCCTATACAGGTAAGAATAGCTTTCCAATGGTAGAATGTATATAAAGACCACATAATAATCAATATACAATGGATCATTGATATCACGGCTAGCTAAATCTCATTGAAAGATTCTCCTCATATATGGATAAGAATAGCTTTCTGATGGTAGAATGTACATAAAGATCACATAGTGATTGACGAGAAAAAATACAGTACATGTAGTTTTCATGATTTTCAAGTAAAAAAAACAATAACATTCTAATTAGGTTGTTTTTATCCCTATGTATAGGATGGTCGACTGCAGCATTCTGAGATTGGAAAAGTGTGGAAGAAATATCCAGCCAAGCTACATGATTGGTTGCTTAGACTGACAGAAGAGTTTGACTTGACGTTTCCCCTCCCTGACATTCCTGTTAATCTTGTACCCTGCCTCCTTCCAGACAAAGAACCAGAGGTGAGATTTTAATGATAGAACCCATAGCAAGAGTATGACTTTGTCTACACTCTTTGAAATTGATATGATTCTGAATTCTTGCCTATATCCAATCAGAATAGAGTATAGTCAGACAGACATTACATGTACATTTTCTCCAGGCAAGGTTTAATACTCATTTCACGTTTACAGTTTATTTACATTATTTTACATTTCAAATGGGGACTTAGGGCATGGAGTGGACACTGTTTTTGGCCAACATTTGGGATATCACACGAATATTTTTTGATGTATGTAAATTATTGGTTTTCATATGTATATGGATAAAGGAAACACATAGACCTTATATCATGTTGATCCAGGATTATAAGGTTAACTGTATTAAAGGAATACTCCTTTCTACTATTTACACCTTGCTAAGTTATTTATATTGTATAAATTGCAGGATGTTTGGCCAGCCATCAGTACACAGGAAGGGGTCCGTGAAACTAAGGCTGTCTACAGCTTTGTGTACCTTCCAGTAGGGCTGTTTAACAGGGCACAGGTAAGAAGGTCAAGGGTCATGGTCAAGGATCATGTGACTGTATTTAGCCCACTTGATTCACTAAATCTGGTCACATGACCCTAGGTTTACATTTAAGATTTTGTGGTGCAAATATAAATATAATGACACACGGTTAAAAGTATTGCAAATACACAACATGATAGTTTTTAGAGAAAAAAAAAATCGGAACGGTTCAGTTCGGAACATTTTGCTTCGGAACGGAACAATTTCGGAACGGTTCGGAACAGAATGACTGCGTGTATAAGATTAAAATAAGTTGATCATCTAGGTCTATTTGGTAGCGAAAAGCTCTTCAAAATTCTTCAATGAGAAGGAGTGAATAGAATGAACCTCTTTTGGTGCAAAATATTGAAAGAAAAATGCTGTTTTGTGGCGATTTAAGGGCCAAAAGTTGTGAAAGGGTAAAATGTTCTTGTTCCGGAACCGAACCGAAATTCTTAATTTGTGTTCCGTGTTCCGTTCCGAGGGCATAATTCCGCGGATCGGAACAAAATCGGGTATCCGTGACACCTCTAATAGTTTTCACAATATCCAGAAAACTCATGATGTATTTAACTCTATTTAACTCTCTTAACTTACATCCTATTAATTTGATTCAAAATGCAACTCAATGGGAGGAACACCTTCAGAAGTGGAACACTATTTTATCAGTGTTCAAGAACACTATTTTATCAGTGTTCAAGAATTCAGAAATCCTTTCTGAGGTAGCATAGCATTGAAGCAAACATGTGTTTCTTATATCATGGATCTACTGTCATACTGTATAGATCCATAACATATTAGACTTTTATGTTCCAGGTGCGACTCTTCCAGTTCTCGGACAGTAAAGCAATATGGAAACAAGGATCCCTTCTCAAGAAGAATGACCATCTAGCCTTGATTCAACAACAGAGGTGAGTCAGTAGTACATATAGCCATTGTGGTGTCTGCAAAAAGAATGTGAAATAGTCAAAGTGTAAAGCCTTGATTCAACAACAGAGGTAAGTCAGTAGTACATATAGCCATTGTGGTGTCTGCAAAAAGAATGTGAAATAGTCAAAGTGTAAAGCCTTGATTCAACAACAGAGGTAAGTCAGTAGTACATATAGCCATTGTGGTGTCTGCAAAAAGAATGTGAAATAGTCAAAGTGTAAAGCCTTGATTCAACAACAGAGGTAAGTCAGTAGTACATATAGCCATTGTGGTGTCTGCAAAAAAAAATGAAATAGTCCCAGTGTATAAAGCTCACATGCTTCGAATCCACTGTGGTCACCAAATGCATGTCATCTCAATGTCACATATCATGATATATCAGGCAATATTCAGGAGTCATGCTTATGAAATTAGACAACCAGTGAATATTAAAAGAATATTGGTCTGTTTTTAAAAAAAGTCAGGTTTGGCCAAATTATCAGCAGCTAAGAACCAATCAAATTTAAGTATTTAGACAAGGTGCATGATATTTTGCATTGTTCCAGTGAGCAAAACTTGATAGTGAAAGTTCAGGGCCAGAGACCAGAAAATATCCTACTGCTGATTCATGAAGTTTTTGAGACTCTAATACAAGAGGCCTACAGGGGTGTGCATTACGACTTCTTATTGCCATGTCCTGATTGTCTGAATAAAGCAGTGAGTATTATCTGATTTGAACATCTTTTTTACCACAATGCAACAATATTTGGGGAAATACTATGCAGTACAATAGCAAACATTAAAACTCAACACATCTTAAATCAAACATCATTTAAGGTTGTCCATTAATTCTAAAAAACTAAAGTATGTCATATTTTAGTCAAGTAATTTGGACAAGGAGTTTGGTTTTGGAAATTGTAAAAAGAATTCTCAAAGTTAATTTCTGAAACTATTTGTACAAATTAAAGAATATCATAGTTTACAAAGGTCATTCCAACTTCTGTTATTAAGCTACAATAATGAATTTCATGAAGAAATAGATCCATTTTATGCCATATTCTTTTATTCTAGGGTACTTTAGACCCATGTTTGTTCCAATGTACGCTTATACGACATGCAGTAGACATGAAGGCCCCTTACCTACAGTGCAATAAATACTTCCATGCTGTTCCTATGGCAGAAATGCAAGGTAACGATTACTAGCTTTTAAAATATGTATCAGCTAACTTTAATGTAGGTGTTCCATTTACTGACAGTCGTAAGTGGATCGCACAACAGGAGCTTTTTGAGGTGACCAACTTTCAGAAGTTAATTTAACATGATTAGTAGATTGGTCCTGATATTTTGAAAATTAACACTTATGGAGATGATCAACTTTCAAAAGTTCATTTTTCTCAAATTAATTGATTTTGAAAATATTCTACTTATGAAGGTATTCCATTTTACTTGTATAAAGCAAGCGCTCTTGAGTGGTACAAAATAATTTTACACTAATCACGAGTACTACAATACAATGTTGTGTATTGCAGCAATGCTACCCCCAGACCCCACCACTGACCTTGACCTACATCTCCAGAAAAGTTTCGATGCTCTAGAAGAACTCCATAGTACCCTTACAACAGATATCTTTGTAAGTTTCTGTGTAAAGGACACTCCTAGGATGTCAGAGACAGACGTAGTGGACCACATGCAAGTTGTACAGGATCTCTCAGAAGATGATTATACATTGTGAGTTTCCTTTTTATGTCATCACATAGACAAGGTGACATGAGTTTCCTTTTTATGTCATCACATAGACAAGGTGACTTGAGTTTCCTTTTTATGTCATCACATAGACAAGGTAACATGAGTTTCCTTTTTATGTCATCACATAGACAAGGTGACATGAGTATCCTTTTTATGTCATAACATAGACAAGGTGACATGAGTTTCCTTTTTATGTTATCACGTAGACAAGGTGACATGAGTTTCCTTTTTATGTTATCACGTAGACAAGGTGACATGAGTTTCCTTTTTATGTTATCACGTAGACAAGGTGACATGAGTTTCCTTTTTATGTCATCACATAGACAAGGTAACATGAGTTTCCTTTTTATGTCATCACATAGACAAGGTGACATGAGTATCCTTTTTATGTCATAACATAGACAAGGTGACATGAGTTTCCTTTTTATGTTATCACGTAGACAAGGTGACATGAGTTTCCTTTTTATGTTATCACGTAGACAAGGTGACATGAGTTTCCTTTTTATGTTATCACGTAGACAAGGTGACATGAGTTTCCTTTTTATGTTATCACGTAGACATGGTGACATTGTAACAGCCAGAGTTCAAAAAGGTACACTGTTGTCATCAGATTGGTGAGCAGAGGATTGGTAGCTGCAAATGAATTTTCTTATATGCTCATTTACAAACAAGGTATGATATAGTTAATCCTGTACCTTGATGTGACTAGCATTTAGCATAGGCAATCTGTGGTTGACATTTGTAACAATTGTCACACATTTGTAACCATTTTGTAACTTGCCAGATGGTAACATTTTGTCATATATATGCCTTGTTTTTACACTTTTGTAGTTAACAAACACCGTTATAAATATATTGATAGTGTAGGTCTAAGGAAGTCAAAACCCAGGTATGAGATAGTAGTAAATACAATATTACTCTATATTTATTAACAATAAACAGTAATTTGTAATAACTAGCCAGAAGATCAGAATCAAAGTGAGGGATAATACTCAACACATATATTTGCAGGTGGTATGATGAGGACAATACAGAGACTAACTTCAGCAAAGTAGCCCTAGCTCTGCAAGATTCAAAGGTCTGTTGTACTACTATCATATTACTCAGTCTAACACAAAGCCGAGGGAATAGATTAAATTGAGTTCATGTACAGTAGAACCTGTGTAAGTGGAACGCCTTCCGTTCTGCCAAAAAGCGTTCCACTTAGGAGGTGTTCCACTTACGGAGGTTTTGGAATCGCGGGGAAATAAATAACATACAAGATCAAATATAGGGTTGATATGTTTTATTGGAAATCTGATTCTCCGTTCATTGCAGGGCAGCTATATACCATTAATTATCCATTTGTTTTACTCAAAAAGGTATCTGACATTCTTAATCCTCCTCATTCTTCCAAAAGGTTTTCTGACATTCTTAATCCTCCTCATTCTGCCAAAATGTTTTCTGAGATTCTTAATCCTCCTCAGTCTGCCAGTCTTGGGCAAAAAGATTTGTCAATTAAGTTTTAAAGACTTGTTCCTACTGCTAATAATTCAATTGTTTTTAACTGACATTCTTAATCTAACTTATCAAGTTTGAAAAAAACAGCAAGGGGTATTAATTAGTGATAGCATCACATGTCCATCTCTACAGGAGGTTAATCTAATTTGCTGAATGATAATCTTATAAATCCTAATTTGCTAATTATCAAATTAATTAGTGGTAGCATCACATGTTTATCTCTACAGGAGGTTAATCCTATTTGCTGAATGGTAATCCATTAAAAAACCTTATTTGGCAATTATCAGTTATTACCTGTTTTCATACCCAGATATCACTGTAGGAGGTTAATTCTGTTTACATACAGTATCAATATTGAAATTTATGGAAAATGACTGTTCCACTTAGCAGGTTAATTTTTCAATATGGAGTGTTCACCGTTCAAGTTTGGAGGTGTTCCACTTACAGAGGTTCAATTAACATTAAGTCAATGGGTTTTTAAAACGGGACTTTGAAAAAGCGTTCCACTTGTGAGGTGTTCCACTTACGGAGATGTTCCACTTAGCAGGTTGTACATGTTTTTCTGGTGCTGGTCATAAGACTGCATATTTCATTTGGACTTATTGTATAAATAAATACACGGAGACGAGTTTGAAGTAATGGAATCAATCTTTAGGCAGCAAAAGAGAAAGAATTTAAAGTTAAATATGTGTAAGTGGAACACCCCTGGGACCTCAAAAAAGTGTTCCACTTAGGAGGTGTTCCACTTACAGAGTTTCATCGACATAAAGTCAGTGGATTACTGGATGTTACTGATTTAACTGTACCTAATAATACACCCATGATATTGCTTGGGTTTGTTCAACTTAAGTGTACCTGTTTTTGTAGATGATGCTTATTTTTATGTCTTCTGACTATGAAAAAGATGAGAAATGCTTCAAGACATTTCACTATGGGACACAGACTTTGCAGAAACCATTTATCTTGGTGGTGGTAGGGCAAAGTATGGAATGGCAGAAAACACATCTTGGCATGCTCATTGGACCACAGGAGGTAAGTCGCTACCATGATTCAATTTGCTTATATAGTATATGTAAGTCTACAAATAGAATAAGGCTTTATATTGATGAAAGTTCTCGAATTGAAAATATTGAGCCCAAACACCCTAATATCGTTCAAATTATTCAAAGGAAAATATATATATAGCCTGAAAATTCATAATGTAGCAGATTTCTTTTATTTTGCTGTACATAATAGCTGGAATCAATGATTCATCATATGATTTACTCATCCTAGATTATAGTGAAATTAGTGAATACCATGAAATTCTTAATTCTTTCAAAGGAACAGTTCCTCTATCTTTCAAGTTGATGATGTTCTTTGAAAAAGTGTTGAATACCTTTTTATTTGAAATTTTTATAGAGTGTCATTAAGTATCCAATTATTGTATGTTCCACTTGAACTCATTGAGTATCCAATAATTGTATGTTCCACTTGAACTCATTGCTGAGTATCCAATAATTGTATGTTCCACTTGAACTCATTGCTGAGTAAATAATTATTGTATGTTCCACTTGAACTCATTGAGTATCCAATTATTGTATGTTCCACTTGAACTCATTGAGTATCCAATAATTGTATGTTCCACTTGAACTCATTGCTTAGTATCCAATAATTGTATGTTCCACTTGAACTCATTGCTGAGTAAATAATTATTGTATGTTCCACTTGAACTCATTGAGTATCCAATAATTGTATGTTCCACTTGAACTCATTGCTGAGTATCCAATAATTGTATGTTCCACTTGAACTCATTGCTGAGTATCCAATTATTGTTCCACTAGAACTTGAACCTTTCAAAAAGTGGTTATGTCCAGCCATTAGTAAAAAATATTGTGACTTACAACTTTTTTCCGACTTTACAGGTGTTTGTGAATATGAGGCAGAAAGAGCGCTACCCACATAAGATTGAGGAATTAAAAACAATGGTCGCTGACAAACTTGGTTCCATTGACAAGGTATGCCTTGTCTATAAATCATCCAGTGCCTTAAGAGAACATATTGGCCGTATTAAACTTTTAGAGGTGTTTCTTTTATACAATACAATTATTATACAATGTGCAATACAATACAATTACAATATAATGTACAATACAATTACCACACAGTATACAATGCAATTGCAATAACAATACGATGTACAATACAATACAATCACTATACAATGTACACTACAAATCCTATCAGTATACAACACACAATACAACTAATATACATTTTACAATACAATTACTATACAGTATACAATGTACAATACAATTACTATACAGTATACAATGCAGTTGCAATAACTATATGATGTACAATACAATACAACCACTATACAATGTACACTACAAATCCTATCAGTATACAACATACAATACAACTAATTTACTATTTACAATATAATTACTATACAATTTACAATGTACATAAATATTATGGGATAAACATGTAATGGTTTGAATATATCCTAGGAGGAGAATGACAATGATGGCCAGTTGGTGTTCATAAGCTATTGTTGGTCAAACTCCCATGATGCAATACGACGTGGAAGCAAGAAAATCCAGGGGGCGCTAGGAGCATTTGACCCCCGTGAGATCAAGAATAAGCTGGAGGAGAACGGGATCAAATGTTGGATTGACATAGAGAATATTAAGGTGATTTAATTTAACTTATGTTGCCTTATGAACCTTTACAGTAAAACTTGACTTGTCACTGGCTGGGACTGGTCAAAATTGTTCAGATTGGCAAGTGTTTACATTTCGAGGTTCTTTAACATGAAAATTTGCGGGACATTTCATATAAAAATATGACTGACATTCGAAGGTGTTCGGACTAAAATGTATATGGATACACAGGCTCCACTCTATTAGCTATTTTAAAATAAAATTATAAAGAACTATTATTAACTATGTATAACTACATGAGACAGTTCAATGTTATCAAATTTTGAAGAATCCTTTTTGAAGAATATTCCAAATTGCCATGTTGAAGCTGTAAATAAAATGTAAGAAGAATACCTTAGACAGTCTTGATTCCAAATTTCAGAAAGGATTATTTGAAGATATAATCGGTGGAATAAAGAAAGCAGATGTGGTGCTAGCGTGTATATCTAAGGAGTATGCTAACTCAAAGAACTGCATGAGGGAACTTCACTTTGCTGCCAACACCATGAACAAGCCAGTTGTGTTTGCTGTGGTGGGCACTGGGGATGAATGGGAACGTTCTGAGGTGAGACATTAACAATCTGTAGTATTCTAGACAAACATATAAATCTAATGCATTCTAAGCCAATTGTGTTTGCTGTGGTGGGCACTGGAGATGAATGGGAACGTTCTGAGGTGAGACATTAACAATCTGTAGTATTCTAGACAAACATATAAATCTAATGCATTCTAAGCCAGTTGTGTTTGCTGTGGTGGGCACTGGAGATGAATGGGAACGTTCTGAGGTGAGACATTAACAATCTCAGGGCATTGGAGGGAATTATTGATAAATCATGAGCATATTAGACGGACTGAATTCTAGCCATGTTCAATATATGAAATTTGACCCACTGGAAATGCCTACATAGTAATGAGCAAATAGTCACAATGGTTCAACAAGTAATGGACAAGTATACAAGAACAAAATATTCTTCGTACATTGAATTAATTATATTTTCCTTTTATTTTACAGATCAATTTTGTATTTGGAACAGATAAGCCTCCAAAGATCAACTTTCAAGAGGAATGGTCTGACAAACTGATCCCAAGATTGGTTGCTAAGCTACAAGAGAAACTGGCCAATCAGAAAGAGAAAAAGGAACATGAGCAAATGAAATCATCAACAAAAGATAAACATAAAACCAGCAAGAATGAGAAGGTTTCACTCTATGTGAGTTGCTCTGAATTTTTTAGATTTAGGAGAAATTATGGAATTTCAACACGATATAGTAAAATAAAATATTCACAATACTGTTGCGTGGGAAGCAAAATTTTGCTTCAAAAAAGGGCTTTTGGGTTTCACGTTGGTGTACATCATCAACTATTCTCGAATGTTAGGTTCAACATCATACTCTGAGGCATCATCATTATCAGTAGTGTTGAAGTAAAGAATCGTTTGTGCCTTTTCTCAAATTTCTCTATCTTTCTTATATCATAACAATGTCAATATCAAAACAAGGTCAACCCCAATGTGTTGCCCAATTTTGATAAGAAGAGAAATCTCCAAAGGGATCTGTTTTTTGGAACCATGTGGGTTCTTATAACTAGTAAACTGTGTCATACTCATTTTCACACTGTGTTGCAGGAGGAGTATGAATTAGCTCAGCGTAAGTTTCTGCGTCAGATTATTGCATATTCCAGGACTATGGGAAACTCCAGTTATCCACGTTTACATGTCCTTGACTTCAATAGACCAGATATCAAGAAAACTGGTAAGCATATCATGGTGTTTCATTAAGTTATATTACTGGATGAGCGTGGTGTAAAAGTGGTTTTGAAAAATAGCAAATTTCTCTTTATGTAGGTAATTTGTGGTTTATGATTCTACATTGATTCTGAAAATACTAGTGTCTAGTTTTTCAGCGTTTTGGAAATATTCAGATTTATACCCCCCTTGTTTGATTTTGAGGGGGGTACTAGGAAGGCCATGTAAAATTCCTAGAATTTACAACCAATCATTTTGATATTTACAGGTAATCATGTACTTATCATGTCCTACAAAAGTAATAAGTTTCATCAAAGTTAGTCAACAGGCGGAGATCATATGTCAAAAAGTACACAATTTCGTCAAAATGTAAGACACCCCATGAGACAAAACACATATTATTTTAACGAAATTGGAAAGAAACACCATAAAAACATTTTAGAAAACTTATTCAGAGTATGTTTGATAATATTAAATCAAGTGCTGTTTTATCTTATCCACACAGTGAAATCTTTTGCTCATGATTATATGGCAATGCAAATTAATTTAGAAAGGGGACGTGGCACTTTTCCAAAGAATTCTTAACTTGTGTCCAAATTTTTGAAGAAAATAAATAACCAATTGTCCTGTTATTTGCAGATATTATTCACATCATTATGTTTGACAATCATGGAAAGTTTCATCAGTGTTGGTTTACTGGTTACTATAGTATGCAGATTTATACCCCTTGGTATGATTTTTAATTGGGGTACAATGAAAGCCATCTATAATTCCTAGAATATACAGCTAATCATCTTGATATTTACAGGTAATCGTCTACATATCATGTCTTAAAACCATGACAATTTTCATCAATGTGTATCAATTGGTTGCTATGGAAACATAAATCATTTTTTCAAAAGTACACATTAAGGGAGGTACTATGAAAGCCATATATAATTCCTAGAATATCTAACCAATCATCTTGTTATTGACAGGTAGTTTTCTACTCACCATGTTCTTCCACTGTGACAAAGTTCATAAATGCGGGGCAAATGGTTGCTATGGTAACAGAAATCATTTGTTAAAAAGTACACATTAGGGCGTACTATGAAAGCCATTTATAATTCCTTAAATATCAAAACAATCATTATGATATTTACAGACAATCTACTACTTATCACACAACGAGAAACACTATATAATAAACTCCAATACGACGAGATAATATATTTGTTATCCAAATTGATTAATAACTAATAAGATCAGATACTGTTAAATAATATTCTGCCCGGGATTTGTTATTGTCGTATACAAACGTGGTATCCGAACTGCTTACTTATAGTATCCGTTGCGACCATTAACAATATTGTAAATGTCTAATTAGCTAAGTAAATAAACATGTCGTCACAGTCGCTGTTGGCTATGGAGAGTTATTAATAATTATCGATCATAAATGTTATCATACCTTTCTTGATTTAAATATCCAAATATTTACTATGTTTAAAAATGAAAATGTTTGATTTTTAAGTAACTGTTCGACCTTTTTTCTTATTATCAAGAACGCGCAAGCAAGTTCGGCAATCCTTGTACATTGTGTGCACAGTATGCGCATTTTAATCGTTGTATATTTTTCTATATACTATAATACTATTCATTTTTTTGTACAATTGAACCGAACATACCAAAATCATCAGCTTTAAATAGATTATATGTTACGAAATTAGCCTTAAAATAATAAAATTCGTGCGTTTGTAAATGCTCTCAATAAAGAAATAGACCAAAATACGCAAGTTTACTTTGAAGTTTCTTTTATCGTCTTTTGTCATTAAACTTTGATGTTCTATCGATAAAATATGTGGAAATACCAGAAGAAGCATTGGAGTAGGAGAGTTTAACTAGAAGACAGCAACCCCTTGGAAAAGCATACTTCATAACCGTGTGCAATATATGTATATTATAATATGTAACCTAAGATTCATTTTGGAAAACATTATAATATTATACTACAGAATAATTATACTTTTAATATTAGGAGGCTCTCATTTATTCTCGGACCAAAAGCGATTTTATACCCGAACATCTAATTCTCCAGCTGAATTTTTCAGGAATAAAAAAGTTCACAATGATCATGCTTTTAGTAAGATACATACTGCTTATCCTCGGCCCGTTCACTAATTAACCGTTTGTCATCAAATGACTACAAGAATCTGTTACGTATCACAGCCAAGTCATTTTTATTTGAAATAAAGAAATTATTTATTTATTCTTCGATTTGAACGTGAAATATGTTTTAAAGTATGACGTAAAATTACAGAAATGCGCCCCTCCCCCCTCCCTTCCTGGCATGAACTATTTACATTTTTAAACGGAAATAAATGCGTATTACGGGATTGTGACGTTTGATGACAGTGACTATTTCCCGTCACCTGCATTGTTTGCCTCATCATGGGAAAACGGGATTGAGTCTATATTGAACTAATTAATTAGAAATCGACAGATATTTTTGTCTACATGCTCATTTACCTCTAAGTGGTTAAAATATCAAAGAACTAGGACGTCGGTTTTTAGATAGGCTGTAATCATAAATGTATTGACTGCAGGGCCTTACCCGGGGGGGGGGGGGGTCACCATTCTTAGCACTTTTCAAGTGATTGCGGGGCCAGATTTGTCAAATGTAAACCCCCTTGGAAAGTTTTGAAAAGTGACCACCCCCCCCCCCCATTGACAAAATGTGATTACGGTCCTGCACGTTTTACAAAGCTTTTAAAAACAGGTCGTGTAGTATGTAGACACCCATTGTTTGATATTTATAGCAAAAACATTGACATTTGAAAGTTTGTGACGCTGCGTTATTTTGAATAAATCTTATATCTAAGAAGCCTATTGGTTGAAAAAAATACCTAGAAGACTTAACATATTTCCCAATGTCATGCACCTATTAATTTAGCAATTAAATTATGATTATAAACTTTCTCTTGAAACAATAAATCTTCCAGATTTGTTGAATTTTTGGACAAAATCGGCTACCCCCTCCCCCTCCGTTCATTACTTCCGATCATCGGGCGTGATGTTGATTTTTATAATATGTTATGTTATGTTATATTTATTTCCATATTATAATTCTTACAATTGAATAACAATATATCTCTCTAAAATTAAATTTGAAATAAACCGAAGAATAATCAGCAAGTCTGATTGAAAATACACATCCTGTAAAAGAGAGAAGAATTTAATCCGTCTGAATCTGATTGCAAAATATAAATCTGTCTCATTAGGAAATTAATCCCTGCTATTTAACTTGCACATAATCTAAAAGCTAATAGTCAAGCTTATCACAATATAGTAGAACATCTTGGCTTCAGATATTATTTTCTCATGAATTTTAAAAATCGGCCGAGAACTGATTAAGTAACATTCCGCACACGCCGTCTGATTGCATATTTGAAACGGCAACATCCGATCTACTACAGTATGAATAATCCAATTGACTTTGATAGCATATATTTGTTTTCAGACATATTTTGTATTTGCGCCAGCTTCGTCCCCCCCCCCCCTTCACGTGATGCCTTTCAAATCAATTCATTTCACAAATGACATAGAACTGCAAACGCCTGTTGCGTTTATTCCAAATGCAACAAGGCTAGCAGTTGAATAATAAAACAAGACAAATCAAAATCATCCAACATACGTATCATGTATAGTTCCCCTTTTATAGGAGGCGTTATTAGGTAATTAGGTCACTATTATTAATGAGGAAAATGTAGAACCAAATAAATGTTCATCTCAGCCTCAGTATTTGAGAGTTCATTTCATTTCACATCTGAGGATACATTTAGTTGTACACCATACACATGCCTTCTGTTCATGCCCCGGTTTTAATGAACGCACTTTTGAATCATTGTAACATGTTATGTTCTAAATGGATGCATCAAGATCTTGTGTTGCAAATCTATAGGTAAATTTCACCAGCCTATGACTTTTAAATACATTCTTTATATGTACATGTACAGTAACTCCGGAAAATCTAGTATCATCAGTATTTTTTAACAAACTGGGACTTTTGATGTGAAAATCAATTATGATAGCAATATATGAGCAACGGTTTAGATTAAAACTGGGAAAAGCAGGCGGTCGCCGTCCGGGTCGCCGTATGCTTGACGCACGGCTAGTGTAACAATGTGAAGGGTAACAGCCCGCTTCCCCTATAACCTTGCCAATGTCCATATACGCTTCTGCTTTTTCAAATTTCGGATCACCTTTGGGATGGAGATAATATACATGTAGATTTGTTACTAGGGGGGGGGGGGGGGGGCACACAGAAACAGACATTCTGGAGAAATAAGGGATTATCGGGGACTTATTTCCAAATCCACAGATTAGTGTCAAAAGCAGTTATTTACAAGGCTATGATTTTAAATGGATAATTGACTCTTAAAACATGGGTTAAAGGCTAGTCCAAGTGCAGACCCGTACCAAGCTTATGTCACGTTATGTGGGGGGGGGCTGAACCCTGACAAGGGGGTTCACATTTATGATTCAAGAAAGCAACGTCCGAGTTATTTGATATTCCTAACCACTTAAAGAGGTGAATGAGCAAAACCTCCGTTGATTTTTAATTAATAAGTTCAATAGACTCAATCCCGTTTTCCCATGATGATGCAATCAATGCAGCTGACAGGAAACAGACACTGTGTCATCAAATGTCCCAATCCAGTAATACGCATTTATTTCCTCAAACTAAGATGAATATAACAGTTTCTTAAGAACAAAAACCGTAATCAGTTTTTATCAAGGGGGCTACTTTTCAAGAATCCAAGGGGGTTCACTTTTGAAAACTTTGGTCCTAAAAACCACTTGAAACTGCTCAAAATGGTGAAAAGTTTAAACTGTATGATTTTGGGAGATTTGTTGGTCGTTGAGGGGGTCGTTCGGGTGTACGCATCATTTCCGCGATCTGGGGGGGAGAAACCCCCCCAGATCCCCTTATACTCGCTCTGAAATTGGTCAGAATGCATCAAATAACGC